GCACAAAACCTGGAGAGATTTTAAATGACACACAACATTAAAATTGTCCAACTGTTTCTATTCAGTCCTCTCTTTATGCTGGCTTACCAAGATCCCAGAACACCATTGCACAGCATTGCTCCAGGTTTTGCCTTTTTTCCATATGACATGCCTGCTTGAATGAAATGGTCATTTTAGCTCAATCTGTCAAACAGCAAGGTTGAATCTCTGTTTTTGTCACTTGGTGTTTACCACTTGGCTTTCATAAAGGGTGTTTGGCATTTTGCCATGACAGAAGGGTAAAGATACAGGTTAGTGCAGCATTAAGGCTAAAAGAGAACAAATTCTTAATGGCTGGTACTGGTTAATAGGGACTATCTTCCCCTAAAGTGGTGCAATTTTGAAGACACAAATACAAAAGCAATATCAGGTTAGGACGTTTCAGTTAGAGTTATAACTGTCACTCTAATCTCCACTAACTGCTCTCCGCTAGTAATATTTCCCTCCGCTAGTAATATTTGGAGCAATAGTCTAAAAATATATATATTCCTCATGACATGCAAGAAAATTATCAGCTTTGAAAAAACACACTTGCTAATGAATTTTGCAATAAAGAAGCTTGACTATTTACTTATGTAGTTGGTGCTCCCTGAATGATAAAACAGAGATAAAAATTTTGTAGAGACAACACTTGTGTTATTACTATTTGCTTTGGTCATATTTTGCACTATTCCGGTCAGTGGCCACCTTCTAACCCTTCTGTATTTGTCTGCACACTTCTCCAAGTGGAAAAGAATACTAAATCTTTGGAGCTGGAATTTTTCCTGCCTCAGTCTCAGTATTTGTCTTTTATCTCATTTCAGTACAGTTATACCTTTGAATATGTGAACAAGAACAGGACACATTTACCCATTTATATCCTCATTTGACATTTGTGTTCACATAAACATGGCAGTAAGAACATTCAATATCTCTTGCATCAGGTACCCCTTTGGAACAAAAGTTCATCCATATCTGAAGACAATCCATGTTAGGATCTGTGATAAAGGTCTGCACATGGACAGAGGAATACAGGCAGGGGACAGTCCAGGTAACACCCTGCTCTGGCTTCTCCAAAACCCATCACAAGAACCACCAGTCCATCTCCACAATCACAGGTGCACAAGGGCAGGTGGGAACCCACAGACACTTAGGGAAAGGGGACACTCTGCCAGCCCCTGCAGCAGTGTCCCAGGAGTCTCAGTCTGGGCATAAAACCCACCACGATGAGACAATTTGGAGGATCTATCATACTTATGATATGGGGTTTGATGCCCCAAGGGTGTCAGATGCAATATAGGGCAGAAGAGAAGAGGATTTTGTGATTGCAGAGGACTTGTAAGACATTTAGGAGAGCAACTAAAGGCAGGGAAATAGATGGATCAAGGTGACCTGGGGAGGAAATGGTGTTAGAAAATAGATCACATCTGTTGTCTGTGTGTGTGCATGTGTGGGTAGGGAGTCCAAGTACCAGCAACTGGACTTGGAGTCCTGCATGGCAACAGCTGGAAAGACTGAAGGGAATAAAACTGTCAGTGAGTGGAGTGGGACCAGGGGTCAGAGGCCCATGTCTCTGAGTGCAAGACCACAGGAGCAGCCAGGTGTTGGAGGGACCATGGGAGTCCCGCTCAGCTGCCAGAGACACCCTGAGGTGTGGGTATCTTTAGGGGCGAGACCTGCTGGGCTGGGCATGAGGGAAATGGCCTGTACCAGAAGCTGGAGCAGAGTTGCAACCTCAGGGGCTCATATGTCCATTCACCATCAAGTGGAGAGACTGGGATCCAGGAGCAACTGGGGATTAGACAGAGTGTGTGAGCCCAGCTGTTGGATCTACCTTGTACACACCTGTACACATACACAGTCCTGCTCTTGGACATCTGTCCTGCTCAGCCAGAGTGGGGCAGGGAGAGGCTGCTGGTGCTGTGTTTGTGTGACTGCTCTGCGTGTCTGGGTGACCTGTGCAGCTGGCCTTGATGTGTGGTACATACCTGTGCTCTCTGTGGGTGCTGACTGGGATGTGCTGGGCCTTGCTGCTGGTTGGACCTGGGGCCATGCAGCCGTGGCAGCCTCACTGAGCTGCCACCTCTGGTCTGATTCCCCTAATATTCCCGTGCCATAAAGCTAAGTCAAAAGCATTCAAAGTCTTCGATCTTATTGTCATTGAGTGATTTATTTTAAGATTTACCCAGCTCGGGGCATGATTACTAATTTTCAATACCTATCATTTAGAAAATAATTGAATAACTTTTATTTTGTGCATCACAGTATAACAAGGGGATGAAATCATATCTAAAGATCAACAAGTGAAAAATCCAATGCTTGTAAAATTTGGTAAACTAAAATGTATCTGGAACTGCTAGAAAGGAGAAAAAAAACCCCACAAACTGCATAGAAGAATAACAGAAAAAAAAACAAACAAACAAAAAAAAAAAAACCAAAAAAAAAACCCAAACAAACAGTACAACAGCATGCTGAATTGCTGAATTCAGGGACAACTTCAAAGACAAAAAAAAAAACCCAAACAAACAACCAAAAACAACAGTACAACAGCATGCTGAATTCAGGGACAACTTCAAAGACAAAGCAGGTGTTTTCTAGATCCCAAGATAGAAAAACAAAAGAGAAGATGTAATAGGAAGAGAAAAAGAAGCCACGGACCCACAAGCTTTGACAATGTGGAAAAAATAAGTAAAGGGAAGAAAAAGGCAGACTTGCATTGGAGGGACAAGAAACCTGAGTTAAAAATGGAAGTTGAGACTGGTGTGATAGAGAGATTGACAAAGCACTGAAATCAATACTTGGAGTAGGAGACCAGATTAGTGTCAGTTTTCTGAACTGGCTGAAGAACAGTGAGAAAAACTGAGAAGGGCTGTCAAGGTGAGAAATCTGAATGGAAAAGAAGCAAGTTCAGAGAGGAAGATAAAGAAAAGCTAACAAATTCAGGAAATAAATTCAGATTTTAAGGCAAGATGCCAGGAAAAAAATGAAGCCAAGGAGTCAAAAAACCGTTCCAAGGCTTTGGGTCCGTATTGGCTGCATAGAAAACTTCAGCTGGGGAAAGGGAGAAAAAGAATGAGGAAAAATTACCACTTCTTCTGAGAGGGAAGCTGAGCAATGAGGTAAGTGTTTAAGAACAGCAATTACAAGAGCAATGCCTTCTGTGCTTAGTTTACATTTGTTTGCGTTGTTTAAAGTCTCGAGCACATGACTTTTATACTTAAGCAAATCTGTTATCACTAGATCACAGATTAAATTGAAAGTACAGAATACAAACTCCTAAATCATATCAAATCCTCATTAAGTAATTGCCAGCATGTAGTTTCTTCTGCTGGAGAAAGTGACTTGATGTGGTTTGCTCAGTCCTTGTAAGCAATTAGCTTTTAAATGGGAAATGAAAATGGATAGTGTTTCATTTTCTTGTTCTTGAGAAAATAAATAGGAAATCCTTTGGACTCCTTGCTGAGTTTGTATTGATGTTCAATTTAAATGTTCCTAAAATCAATAACTAATTAGTAAAACTTAAATTTTTGAGAAATTTCCAAGTTCTTTTGGAAATGTGTATTTTCTTACATACTTGAAACACATATTTTAATAGTGTTCCTGCAAATACAAGGAAATGTGCAGTAATAAAATGATTAAAGACTATATAAATGTGCTGTTTTAAAGATATTTCCATCATTTGATAGAACTGACTTGATTTTTCAAATATAAATATATATAGAGAGAGCATTGACCAGAACATTAGTACTTTTCTATTAATAGATTTTTCATACTGCATGAAGATTTGAATTATTAATGCTGAATTGATTGTTTGTACAAATTAATTGGCTTCTGCACTATTGCACCAGTAAATGACATATATGTCATTGTTGAGTGGCATATAGTACTGTGGTACATGTCAGTGATCATAAGACTTGGTTCATCCTGATCAGTCCCATTTTTTGAAATCTCCAACTGAATTTAATAACTATTCTGAAAAAAAAAAGCCAAAAAAGAGCAAAGCTGAAATGTGAGCTGGCTCATACATGTTTTTCAACATCATCTGCCCTCTGCAACAAAACATTCACACATCATATTCTTAATATTTTTTTCAGAGAATTAAATTATTTTGACTTAAGGGTTTTCACTTCTGTGATATTTTCTTCTGAACTTATTTAATTGTCATTAAATACATTGTGATCTCTTTTATGTTGAATCCCAGACACCTTACAAAACTCACTGCATCAGCTTGAATCCTCTTTACTAAATGATATCACCTATGTAAGACCTATCACTGTCAGACATTATTTGCCATCAGCTGCATTGTTCTCATTCTATTAATGTAAAGAGAATCTATTAAAAAAAACCCCACACATAGTGATTATACTGAATCCATATTCTTCTGTAAAGGCCCAGGACTTTTAAAATAATAACTTTATATGATGGGCTGTTTCCCACTTCACTTGAAGAGAATAAAGTGCATCAGAGCTGTCATAAACTTTGAAGTTCCAAAGTGTCATACTGCAGTTAACAATTTCTATGTGAATGGCTGTGGCTCAAGCCTGATTTGAAAAATGCGTGTGTGATGATTCAGATCATGGATTTCTTGCAAAGTATGTTTTATGCAGGACAAGAAAGGATGATCTCAAACCTGCTAAATGGAACTGGATATCACATGACATTACATACCTTGATTTCCTACCTGATGTCTTTCTCTAAAGAGCAGTATTTACCAATGATGCATGAGCACTCTGAGAAATCAAACATTTTATAGGGTAAGATACCCTGGCCACAGGGTATTCTGATTTTGGGAAGGAAAGGTTAACGAGGTTAAGGGATCACTTCCCTCTCCTGGAGCTAGAAAGTGTCTGGAAGGGATTTCTTCATGGTTACACTGGCTTTTGGGCAGGAGGGCTTTTGTTGCCCTGGAGGAAACATGAAAAGCTGTCAATACTCACAGGATAGGGTTAGTGAACACATGATGTAAAATATTGAGCACGTACATGGTAAAAGCTCCTCTGCAGGGTTTCTTATGGCCACTTCTCTCCATGTATCACCTTCATCCTTGTCTTCAGAAAGCCAGCTCTCTATGGGGAGACAAATCTCTTCAGCAGAAACAGGGACTACTCTTTCAAGTCTGACTTCCTCCAGGTACCAGCTGGGATCATTTCCAGTGTTGTCATGGCCAATGCGGATTTTATATAGTTGTCCAAGATCTCTGAGATTAATCTGTAAAAAAAAAAAAATTTAAAAAAATTCAGATTTTAATAACAAATTACACTGTTGTCTTTAGCCATCCTTCTTATACTGGGCATGCAAGCTAAATGTGCAGCTAACATAGCCAAGAGTAATAAGTTTTGTTCGAAAACTAAGCCTTAATATAAAATGAATCCCAGAGACAAAGAGTGAAAACATGTGGAGTAGTCTGGAAGTGCAATTTTATTGACTTCAGTACCACATTATTTAAAGTGAGTAAAGGGTTCAGAGAATGCAGTCTGTTTCTAGACCTCTTCAAGGAATCCATTTTCTAGTGTTGTAAATGTAAATCTCTATTCCTAGACAAATCCTTTAACAAGCAGAACTAAGTTCAGTCATTGCTACACCAAATCATACAAGTCCATACAGTCACCATCAGCAGAGCCCTATTATCTATTCCTACCACTTATCAGTCTGCTACTTTTCTCATTGACTTCTGTTTTATGTGCTCTGGTGCCAGGGTTAACTGTTTCTGTAAGTGCTGATGCTACACTGCAGCAAATGTAAACAATAAAACATGGCTATGTCGCATTGAATATTGCAGCCTTGAAATAAGAGCCGCTATGTTTTGAGTTGCAGAAGTATTTTGGACAATTCTGATGGCAGGAATCGAAGCACAAAAGCAGGGTTAACCACTTTCAACCATTTTTTTTTTAAACATTTTTATCAGTGTTGTGTTTGAAAGGTCATGGTAATTGGGAAGAAAATCACCAAGTAAAAAAGAACAAAAAAGAGTTGTTTCCTTTACTATTATAGCAATTTTGTACTATTTCACATCAAAACAAAAAGGATAAAAAGGAAACAAACATCCCTGAGGCAAGCCTGGCACAACTCGCTCTCATAGGCTGAGGGCATGACATGTATGCTAGTAGTAAAAAGTCTGAACAGAGTCTTACTTATGACCATTGTAGTAGGTTTTGCTATATTAAAACAGTATGTTAAAGTAAGATGTGCCAGCTGAAGATACAATTATAGCCTTAATGCAATAAAACCATGTACCTCAAAGATATACTCTTAATGCTCTCAGTGGAATTACAACAACAGATATAAAAAGCAGTCTGACACTAGCCACAAATGTAGCCAGGACATAGGCTAAGTTGCCCTAATAAATGTCACCCAGCTGCAAAACAGAGACCTCTGCAGGACCTCTCTTAGTCCCTGGGCAAGGGACTAAGGTTACCTTGAAAATAAGTATAAAATTATATGAAAACTCTCAACCTTTATTGCAAACTCGGTAGAGTATGGTATTGGTGAACAACAAAGGTGGTGCTCTCCTGAGACACAGGCACTGGCTGCTATTTGTGGATCAGAAGTGTTAAAGGAAAATTTTGGAAATAAACCACTTATTCCTAGTGATCTTATGTCCATGATTAAATTCTGGCTTAATCCCTGCTAAAAGAGAAGCATCACAGCCATCGTAGATTATTGTATGCAATAATCATTACTATGATTCTTGGTCAGGACCAGGAAACTCTATTAAAGAGCCCATTTCAATTTCTGAAGCAGCTAATCAGTCATTTGTCTACGAAGAAAACAAAAACACTCATAAAGCAAATCTTGCTTATCTATTTTATATACATATATATATGAGTTTTAGTATGAATTATATGAGTTGGCTCAAAAGTGAAGCTAAAACTTCTTAAATCATATTGATTTATCATATTATGCTAAAGTGGATTTTTTGTTGTTGTTGTTGTTGTTCCAGAAGGAGGTCTAAGATGTGAGATATGTTTCCAGGTGAATTCCCATGCAAAGATCATGAACATGTCCTTCTGGTTGCTTTCCTCCTGCTGTGCTCCAGCAGATCCATTTCCTTCTTATGCTGGAGGCCCTAGAGCTGCATGCAGCACTTCAGGTGGGGTCCCACAAAAGCAGAGTAGAGGGACAGAATCACTGCCCTCAACCTGCCAGCTGCACAATAGGTGATTTTAGTCAGATCCCTGATACAACCAGAGAAAATATCACAAAAATAAACACATGTAGGAGAGCTGACCAGAAAATGGTGGGGTGAAAGGAAAGGAAAAAAAGGCAATTTGAAAAAGGAGAGTAAAATTGTGAAGCCCATTCATCACCATATCAGCATGCAGGGACTTCCTGCTACTGGATAACCAAGAGAGCAATCCATCAAACCTAATCAAATGAAGTTTCAAGGTAGAGAACAGGAACCTCTGTCCAGGCCTTTAAGTTTCTCCAGAAGATGTATCTAGTTGCAACTAGTTCAATTAGATTTGTTCAAGTCCTGTTCAGCGTCTCTAAATATATATGTCCTTGTGTCCTTCTATACTTCCTATCCCTCCCTAACATTCACACTCTAAAAGCAGTTATGACATAACCAAAGTAAGAAAGCTATGATCACGTGCTAAAGGGGAATTTGTCCAAAGTTTCAAGTCAAATATATTTGCTTGCTTTCAGCTAAAGGAAGAAACAACATCAAGCATTCTTGTCTACTTGACTTACAAAATAAGAGGTTTTGTATGGTAAACTATGCTGTACTTACAGGTAATGGCATATTTCTGAGTCTGAAAAGACTCAAAAATAATTCAAAATACAGAACACTGCTTATTTGATAACAGGCTTAGTAATATGCCTATAATTTTTGCATAATATCATTTTTCTGAATAATTGTTTATTAGTAACCTTGAGGGAGAAAAGTCATATTTATTGTTAGGTGGAAATTAGGCAATGGCAGAGGGGAAATCAATTGTATATGATGTTCTGAAAGACACATAATACAATTAGAAATTTATTTTCAGTACCAGTTGCATATTTGGGGCTTGGAACAATTCATCTTGATGTCAGATCAGATATCACATTGGTTTCTCAGTGGTATTGACTTACTAACATGTTATTTTTTGTCAATTGGAATCCCGTCAAATGCATGTCAAAATTTGCTCTTGCAGTGAAATGCAGAGGAAAATATTCTCATAACACAGTAGAGCTAATGATATTCTTTTGACAATATAAACATTGTCTTGAGGTTGCTTCTTCCTTTCCCATGTTGAATAAATTGCCTTGAACTTCTGCATGACTTAAACACAACCTGGCATTTAGAAATCTCCTTTCACAGCCAGAACATTCTGTAAAAAGTTGTAGAACAAAGTTGACTTTGTCGCCCTTGCTAACAAGGTGCTTACAAAAACTGCAGTTTAGTGGCTCTATGATGTTCCAGCACTAAAGCTGCAAAAGTAACATTCCTTTTTATATGGAAACAGCCATTCTGATAGGCCTGTAATAAATGTCCAAAGAGGAAAGGATGAGTTCCAGGGCTAAAGCATCACTCTGAAAATCAGGCAGCTAGATTCTATTCCTGGATTTGCTTTAGGCTTCCTGAGGAACTACAAAATTCACAAGCCCATTTTGCTCCACTTTCTCAACTATATAAGGACAACATTTACATGTCTCTTACAGGGACATTGCAAATCTCTCTTCATAAATTTTGAGATTCTAAGAAAAAGGTACAGCTCCAAAATTCTGTATTTTTTTCTAAAATGTTCTGTTAATTTTGTATTAGTTGCTACTTCTCTAAAATTCAATTGAGATATCAAAAATTATTAATTGTAATGATGTATTAGAGTTTGGACATGGAGGGAAATTCAAATTCCATTATGACATGGTTTACATCAGCTACCTGTAGAATATAAAACCTAAACTGCAGAGGTGACAAACAAGTGAGTGGAAACACAGATTGAGTTAAAGGGATCTAGACCCCAAAAACATCAGGTATGGTGACCTTCTTAGGGATGACCTTTTAGAGAAATCTTCTACAAATGCCAACCTCTTCCCAGGAGAAGATTTTACAAAACACCTGAGCCATCATCTACAGTTAACTTGTTGGTTGATTGTGGAACTCCTGATGCATTAACCAGTTTGTGTTAAGTCCTGTAATAAATTCTACAGGGGATGGGCTTCATATAGACCTTGCTTATGTGACAGTCTGCCAGCACTTAATAAGCTTAAAAATATCATTGTTACTACAATGGCAGTGGTAATTCTGTTGTCTTTGTAGGATTTTTCTTCACTTTCACATCATATATCATGGTACAAGTACCAGTATAAATTATTGAAAAAACTGTCCACCACTTTCAAAAGGCCATGTTTTCACACACAGCATCTTTGATTTAGTCATATTCTAAATTTTTTCAAGCAGTTAAACTAGACTGACCTGCTATACAATACACCTATATACTTTGCTCATTGGTACTATTTATAGGAATAAATAATCTTCTTACCATAGACAATGGGAACATTTTCATTAAATCATATGTTAGACAACTTGGCCTTTTTGAAATTGAAGCTTAACAAAGCTCATATTTTACAATTTGTCTCTAAGCATAATTGAAATCCAGGTTTATCAGCAAGAAATTCTACCTAAAGAGGATGCAAGGACTAAATTTTAATTCCATTTCTAAATGAACTATGCAAATACACTTTTTGGTCCCTAGCATACCTGTGATATTTTGAATGGAGTTGGTATGACCTATCTTCATGTACTTAAGATGTTTAACTAAGTGAAAAGTGAAGTTCTTTGTCGGAACAAGAAAAGGTTCAGTGGAAAGATACTTTAATAAAAGGATGGAAAAAATACATTAAATTACTCATTTTCTCTTCTCTTTACTAAAATAAGCAAAAATAATATCACTGTTTTCCTGTTGTGCAGAGAGTATCCTGCAATCTCTTTGAGATAAACTCAGGCTAGTATGAAAATTATTTGGATAAATCAACACTTCAGAGGCAGCTGCACCAAAATCGTAATGTCTAACACACCCACCAGAGAATGTCCTTGACAGACCATTATTAATTTCATGTAAGGCTACTTCATTAACAGAATTTCAGAGAAGTCATGTACAGCAGTTGGATTCCCAAAAGAAAGAAGACTCATTGGTTGCATTAAACTTCCACAGCATCAGCATATAATAGAAAAATCTTTGGAAGTAGATGATAATTTTTAATTGTGAACATGCAGCTAATAACTGTTGCCAAAAATGCAATAACTATTATACCAGTACAGTACAAAGGGTCCACGCATGCTGATTGCTTTTTCCAGATGTCTGAATTCAGCCAATTTGTTAATTGTGCCTGAAAAACTTGGCACAGTTACACACTAACTCAAGAATTAGAATATGTCACAGGTGCTCACACAGAAACATAACAGTACCATGAAAAAGGGTGGATACAGACATGTAAGGAAGAGGATTAAAGGCCACACAAAGATCAGCATTATTTTTTCCTACTTCATTCTTGCTTTGGTCACAAAAACAGATTAGTTAAACCAATACTGCTCATTGCATAGTGACTGTTAAAACACTTTCTTTTCCAGGGCACTCAAGCTCTGGAAGAACTTCACTTTTACTATGGGGTTAATCAAATTATGCCAACAGCAAGTACAAATATTCATATATATGTGTATATAGACACACTTGATACTGCAGTACACACTGCTTAATTACTGAACAAGTAACACCACATTCCCCACTTCCATTTCTTGAAGATGAGATGAGCTTGCTTTTCTCCAAGATTTTTTGTGAGCTCTTTACAATCCTGTGTTGTTTCTAGAACAAGGTAAATTTTGTTTAATGCTCAGCCTGTAGCTGATTAAGATAATTTTACATACTTCTTCCTTTTATCTCAGTAAGGGATGAGGTTCATCTTGTTATCTTATGCATTTCACAGACAGTGACAGTTTCAAGTGAGTAACAGTCATGGGTATGACTGTTTTATGCTGCCTTAAGCAGATCTGAATAAAGCCTGGGCTTCTCTAAGTTTTATTCAACTGTTTCTGGACCTAAATGGTCACTATGAAAAGCAGGGACAGCTGGAAAATAACAGGACACAAGCAATGACCAGCTTTTAGGCATTGTCAGTCCCATGGTAAAGAGTGTGGATAGCTACATTAGTGCTTGTGTTCTCTTTTGCAACCTTCCCACTCTGGAAGGATTCTAACTGAGCTCATTTCAGCCTCTTTTATTTCAACATCACGAGCAAAAGCATGAAAATGGATTTGTTTCAACCTATTTTTGAAACATTTAGTTTTCTTCTCACTGCTTCTCATTTTACTGTGGAGATCTCAGTTTTGACTGCTGAAATAATGACTATGGATCCAGAGTACAGGAATGAAAGACTCACAGTGAAACACAACTGATTCTTAGAGTCTGTAGGGCTGATTCTAAAGGAAGGAGTTTTAATTATTTATGTACAGGTTATTTAAAATGTCTGATAACTTTATTCAAACAGGAGGAAAACAAAATTAAAAACAGCAGATCAAGTTTTAAGTGTAGCACATTCTTGAGACACAGTACAGCATGAAGGTGCACTTGATGAACACAACTCTTAATAAAGAAAGTAAAGTGGAAGTGGAAGGAAAATGGCTGTATTTAACTCTTTAACAGTCTCATCATAGGAGCACTATTTATTAAGTTTTATGGTATTAAGTATCTCTTCAAGTATTATATAAGCCCTGCTTTTTTTCTCCCTATATTACTTTCTGGTATTTGCCCTAGACCATAGAGCGTTTAAAGGATTGTTTATGTGGATGAACAAGCTCTAAATCATGCAAATGGATGTGGCACCAGCTTTAAAAGTTATAAAAATGAGCTCATGCAGCAAAAATCACACCAGGGATGGATTTCAGTTTCCAATGCTCCTAAAATATCATGCATACTTCATGTTCTGTACTTGCAAACATGGAACAGCTACCTTCCTTACAAAGACAGCCACCAACCCCAAAATATAATCTAAGGTTAAACTGAAGATTTTGAATAGTTCTTAGGAAAATTTCAGCACTTCTAGTAGTTTAGTGTTATTTTTTTTAATTGACAATGTTTTGAGATTCTTAAGACCAACACCACCCTAAAGAGAATGAAGAGGGGATTATGAAGCAAATTCACAAAGCAAATCATGGAAAAAGCCTTGTTAGGCAAATGCTAGATCCTGCCACTAACACTAAGGCAAGCAGTATTTTGAAAGCAGATCTACTGAACCAGTCAGTGTTTTTACTGGTTTCATTATTACTAGAACAGCAGAACTTGTACCCGAAGGTATGGAATTATTATGTATGGAAGTAATAAAAATTGAGAGATTGCAGCTGGTTTTTACAGAAGATAATAGGCTTACAGTCTTATGCTTAGTTCTCTTTGACACAGAAGGGAATATTTAGCATGACCAAACTTTAAAGGAATATTTTAAAAGAATTTCTTTATCAAACAGTGTGTACAGTCATGAGAGATAATTCGGCATGTTTCAAAGAATGATGATGCAGAATACTGGACTCTAGAGAATATAATTTACAATATAATTAAAGCTCCAGTGTCTTCAGCAACCCAGTGTTCTGCCAAAATCAGTATTTTTGAAATACTGAGAAATACTGAGGGACTGTGATGACACCAGAGGAAGATGCAGGAAACAGATCAGAGTTGTGATGAAAGCTGTAACTTATGGTAGATTGATATTCCTCTACTGGAGAAGGAATGACTCTCAACAGAAAAATGATGCCCTAAAAACTATGCCTGAATAGTAACAGAAGCAGAAAACCACAGCCCAGAAGTATTTTCTTTGAACACATTGGGACAATTCAGAGCAGAAAAGGAAATCCATCAAATTTAATTCTGTTTTTTTTCCTGCTCCCATATTGTTTATCCTTGACATACCCATCTGGTAGGAAAAATTGCTAAGCCACAAGAGAAAATGCTGTGCAGAGTACATATGACTGTCTTGAGGAAACCTAGAACCCAGGACTCCAGTCAGAAACAAGAACTGTCCCCATCACACATTTGTAAATTACCTTCAATGAATTTCATGTACTGCCATCATATGGAAATCTCTAAGGTAATGGCCTTGTTACATTATACCTGCATTACAATGGACTTTGGCCAGTTTTTAATTTCATTTACACAGACCTTAATCAGAGATAGCTAAGGTTAATGAAGTTACACTTGCTTTATAAAGCAATAGAAGCAACAATAAAATTAAGTTCTAGAATGAAATCTCAGGAGGCTATAAAGGAACACCAGCTGATTTACTCAAGTTTTATTAACTTTCTTTTTTCATTACTTTTAACTTTACTGAATATTCATTGTATACTTTTAAGAATTCAAGTAACTACACAGTTAACTATACTTTCTATCAGACTTGATATTTTATTAAGACAATAAAATACATTTTGGTCCCATTCTGTTTTTGTGAGCCATTTCTCTGTGATTCTTATGGTTGTAAGTGTGACTACAGGGATTTTGAAACTGTATGGTATTTTGATTGTTTTTGTGAGGCATGACTGTGTTTTATTTGTTTCCATTATATTATGCTGATCTCTTCCAGCACCTTTTATCAATTAACAGTTTCTTTTTAAAAAACTATGCTAGAAAGTTTCTATCTGGCTGATTTTGATATCAAAAGATATTTTCTGTCCCATCTGTCACTGATTCCCCATCATCTGTTTATTATGCATGAATTATTTAAACCTAAGTGACATATCGCAGATTTAACTACTGCAACAGGTACAGTCCTGACCAAGGAACTGCATGAAGTAGAGAAAATGGCAGGAATCACAGGATCTTGTAGAAGTCCTGAGAAATGCCACATTTCTGAAGCACATCACAGAGACTTTTTTGTCAGTAGAGAGAAATATTTCCATTTGCTTGGAGGAACAGGACAACACTAGTTTAAATCATATGAGTTAACTTAAACTATGTGATTTACCTCTAGTTTCTAGCCACCCTTCATCCCCTTTCCTTCTTACTTTCTCCAATAAAAAGTTCACACAAGAGTAGGCTTCAGTGGAAGTCTGAGGAAGATTGTAAGATTGTGGAAGAATATACAGTTGACCTTTCCAAAGATGGATATGGAACACAAACCATAACCAAGACTATCTTAATACAAAAATGCAAAAAAAGGTTTTTTTTACTTCTTCAAATGAGCATGTAGTGTAAACTGGCACATCAAGAAGATGCAAGTAGGAAGCAGATTCTGAAAGACATGTCTGCCCCATGCAGTTGTGAACACATTGCCTGATTCAAAACTTAGAGTTGTAAAAGTCAGCAGCTCCCTCAGAAATACTTAATCATCCTTGCATGTTTATTTGAGTCTTTTTTATTACCTCTATTATCTAGTTTTGAGAAAAGCTGCTTTGCATTTGTTTTGAATTCTCCAGTGTTCATATACCAGCCATACTGTACCTTAAATGTATCTTCACTCTTGGGATTAAACAGCTGCTGTTTCCCAGATCCCAAAATAATAGGGCCAGAAGCTTTGTTTTCTCCATAAGCATAAAGGAATACTGTTGCTGTTGTGCCAGCTGTTTCAAAATCCCCAGTGACTACAGTTATCTTCCAGTCTCCTTCTTTAAAGTAAAAAAAAAAAAAATTAAATGCTTTTAAAAATGTTACTTATATGAAGCAGTTTACTTGAAAGATGTAATTGAAAGCATAGTTTGGCCCAAGGACTGTGACTACACTGCACCTAAAAGGTAAGGATGTCAGCAGAGGCAACAGAGCATTGCCCAAATACTACATCATTCAAACTCATTTTAAGCAAGTTATGAATTAAGGATTGAGGAGGTTTACACTGCACTAAAGCCAGAAATATGAACAAAAAGTTGAGTGAGATTTCTAGTGCTAACCCTGAGGTTAGCACTAGAAGCAGACCACCATCCAGAGTTTGGATTATGACAACAGTATAACCAAGAAATGCAGCAGGAAAAATGTCAAAGCATCCTGATTAAGTACAATTTCCTCTCATTTTAGGGTAATGTGGTACATCAACAGAGTTCCATTTGCCTGGATGGGGGCATGATACTGAAATCAGCATGAAAAATAAAGGTTTTGTAGAAAATTCTGAACTAGATTAGGACTCATTAGAAAATCATTTTATATAAAGCTCCCTGGCACTAAAGTGTCATCTCTGCTCCCATAAAATGTACACGTTATTTAAATATTCAAAAGCAGCTTAATAAAATTCTTATTTTAAAAAAGAACAATTCATAATTGCAAAAGGCATTTCTACATCTGAAAAGATGGGATTGCACGCTTCTCCACCCCTCATTGATTACAGCTTTTGTCTGTGTGAAACAAGTTCCACACAACGCCTTGAATTCATTCTGTTCAAGGCAAACAACAAATGAAATACCAGCCCCCAGTCATCTTATAAATAAATGCCATAGCGTACACTGCAGTTTTCTTAGTAGAAAGCTGTCTGGTAATGCCTGCATGATTTAAATCTGTTGTCTGACAGAAGTATTTATCTTGGGCCAGCCTCATTATCACTCAGTAATTTGCCCCACAAAAATTGAACTGGAGCAGGAAGTTTGATTTCCTGTTTTCCAAGTCTTTAGAGGTCTGGCTGATGTCTGGTTTGGGAAGGTGATAGAATTTTAAATACACATAAATACACAGCTGGGAATTCAGAAAACAGCAGTAGCTCATTTGTTCTGTCCAATCAAACCTGGCCCACAGACTGCAGGAAGGAATTGTCCCCTGTACTCTGCTCTGATGAGACCCCCCCTGGAATACTGCATCCAGCTCTGGGTTCCCCAGCAAAAGGTTGTTCAGTTTGGACAGGAGAAGGTTCCAGGCAGGTTTGCCTTATTGACAACCATTATATTAAGTTACTTAAAAGAAACCAATATATTAAGTTACTTAAAAGAAAACCATGAATTTTTGCAAGAACAGGTAGTGCTATGTCAAGGGGGAATGGTTGAGGGTAGATTTAGATAAGACATGAAGAATCTTGGTGGTTGTTTTGGTTTGTTTTTTTTTTTTTACTGTAAGGATTGTGAGACACTGGAACAGGTCGCCCAAAGAAGTTGTGGATGTTCCATCTCTGGAAGTGTTTGAAACCAGGTCAGATTGGACTTGGAGAAACCTGGTCTAGTGGAAGATGTCCCTATCCATGTCAGGGGCTGTACCAGGCATCTTTAGAGATTTTATCCAACCCAAACTATTCTACAATTCCATAAAGGAAGTGAAGCATCCAATTTTCACTAAAAAATGTCAGACTCCAGCTTGTAAGAAACTCTTTTGTGCCTTTGAAAATCCTCATCTTCACAGCTTTCTCTATAGATTCACTTCCTTGATTAAAAAAAAAAAAAAAAAAAAACAAAAACCCACAACATTGTACCAGAAAACAAAAGGATAAACATCAATTAGAAGAGTGAAAAGCCTCTATACACTGATGGTGGAAACAAAGAGCATAAGGCAAGGGCTCCCTGCTCCATAGAGAAATTTTAGACAAAATTTTACAGTAGAAATTTTACAAAAATTTCAGTCTTTTCCATTTTCAAACAATACAATGCTAATTTCTTAAAGACAAAGTTCCTTTGAACTATTTGACTGGATGATAAGGGCAATTCCATTTACAAGGGTTTATGAAGAATGGTGCAGACAAGGGGTAAAATATGACCCACTAGTCCTCCTAAAATTTCAAACATCATTCAGAAACAAATACTCGTTTCAAAGCAGGTTAAACATTTTTTTTTTACATGTTCATTAATTAATTGTGCCTCAAATGGTTTTGATGGCCTTTTCTATTGTATTACCTTCTCAAACTCTGTCTTTTTTTAAGCAATGGGGTTCTGAAATGATGCAGTAGTTACTATTGAGGCTGTATTTTCTAGCTAGTTCAGCTCCAACCTCCCAAGTATAAGTTCAGTATCTATAAACTATTTTGTACGCAATTACCCCTCTGAAGGTAAAGTAGGGACTCAAACTTCCTCAAAAACATAATTAAGAAGAGTTAATGAACTATTTTAATTCCTCCATGGTTTGAACTTCTCTATGTTGACTTTGAGGCTCGTTCCTTTTTTCTGGAAGTAGAAAGGACTTGTCTTTGAAACACTGTGCGGGTATAGGAAAATAGTCCTTAAATTTCTAATTTCTCTGATGCCAGAAATCCTCATTGTAGTGCATTGCATGCTTCCAAATAGAAAAAGGGAAACAGTAAGTATTACAAAACCATAGTGATACAGAAAGAAAATGCAATATGGGGAAAGAAAATACAGAAAGAAAAGCTCATGGGGAAAAAAGGTAAGTGAACAAACTCTCAGATCAACCCCTAAACCAAGAATTGCAGCAGTCCCTCTAGGTATAGGATACACAATTTCAAGTCTATTTCCCACTGATCCATATTTTACCAAGTGTCCCAAAAAAGAAGCTATTTGTTTCACACAGTTTTGCCTTACTCTGATTGAGACTTTTGCACAGCTTAAATGACACAGACCCAGCTGTAGGTGCAGAATTTGAGTTATGGAAGGGAAGATCTCTCAAGACAGGCCATGCAAAAGTGAGGTGTGTGGAACAGATAAAGCACAAAGAATAATAAACAAAGAGTAAATTACTGCCTGCTGGAAAAAACATAGAAAGCAGGAAGGACAAAGATACTTGTGACTCAAAAAAAGCCTATTAACGCGACAGGATTTTAATATATTTTCAAAAATAACTGGGTAAAAATTTTATCATTACCACTTGCCATAGAAACAAGGATTAGGACAAGACATTTAGGTCTTCATGGATATTTTGATTGTTACAACAAATTTTGAATAAACATTTTCAAACTTTCTCACAATGCCTTCCAGATCATTGTTCATCCTACAGCATGAAGCACCTCTCATAGTCGAGAAATTCTAATGTGTCTAATTTTAAGAAATTAAATTTAATCTGCTCTGGTTGCGAGGACAGAGAAGTCAACCTGAACAAATATGAAATCACAAGTAAAACAGTAAAGGAAAAACTATTGTTCAGAACAAAACTATATATAGTCCAGGGAAAAGAACCATGTTTTAACATGTTAACAATAAAAAGCTGAAATTAAGACAGATCACCAGTAAGTATTAGAAGAATAGGAATTTTTTAAAAAGCAGAAAGAAAATTAACATTATGGAAAGAAAAATTACAGAATTAAAAGAAAGCATAAACAAAGTTTATTTATTAAATTAAAATGTGAAATTCAGAGTTTACTGAAATGTTCAAATAGTGTGCTATAATTAATGATTTAAAATAAATACAAGTGGCAACAAATGTGTAAAGCAATTAGTTCTGAAACAGAAACAGTTTTCATTAAAATCAGAAAACAAGAGCAGTATTTACCATTTGCATCTTGCATTTTCAGCTGCTGATTTTTTTCAAGCTCTGCAAAAAAAATCCCATTAATAAAGGATCTTTAATATTACAGAAAAGGTTTGAAAGAAGAGATCAAAAAGACATTCCGTTTTTCTAGCCAATACAAGAAAACTCTTTCCATTCATTCCCTCCATACTTTCTCATTATCACCTATACTAATTATATAAATCATGTTGTCTCAGAAATATAGCAAAGCAAGCTGCAAAATCAGTTAACTCTGATATTTACAGTGTAAAATCTGCCCAGATTTCTTCAGAGGAAAAGGATTACTAATTATTCTTTTTACTTCCATAAAGTTACCATAAATATTACCTTGAGGGTACAGCTCAATTTCTGAATGGATTATACCTTGAGACATAAATGGAAACCACCTAAGAATAAGAAAGAAAATAAGAAAGCAGGTAGAAATCAATTTTTATTTACATTACCATATAACTGAATGGTCTATATCTGATTTTCATGCTGAATACATCTAACAGCAATGGGTTTCCATTCCTAAAATTTTGATATTTATGTTACAGTAGAAATTATTTGATTTTACTCAACAAAGAAACTTCTTTTGTGCAAAGTTAAGAGCTATGTAGGTGTAAAATACACTTGTGTCAGATTAAGAGACTCATATGGCACTACTTGTTTGTACAGCTAAACAGAAGAATATAGCACAGAACACTATGGATTGAGAGGTCAGTACAATTTATATGTATCTATTGCAATATTTCTTAAAAATACAGTTCAGAGTTAAAACAAAGATGGAACCAAACACTTCTCTTTCTTATTCCTCCTATCAACTGAGGACAGGTAGATGAGTCTTAAAAAAGGACAAATCAAGGAAAACATTCTTTAGGTTTCCTAGTCATGTTACCCTAGGCTATGTATAATTTTGAAAACTTTTCATTGGAACATGGATTACCAATGGCTTTTATTTCCTCTTGCTTGGTAAAAGATCATCTCTTTTCTTACCAGAAAAGAAATGCAGTAACCTTCTGGGCTGTAGCTTTTTTATATTCTCAGTCCACTTCCATGGACTCTCCAGGAGTGACCTAAATCATTCAGTCTCCTATGAAGCCTGTGATGGGCAAGGAAAGTCCAGAGCAACTTACAAAGTTTCCAATTTTTTGTTTTGAAAACAGTACTTGGCAAATTCATATAAGGGCTCCTCCCTGAGAAATAAATTTTCTCTTACTAAACTACTTATTTCTATCACTTCTGGTAAAAGCTGATGGCACAGGTATCTTCTGAAATCCCAGATGCTAAAAGGTATCAGTAACTAGTAAATACTATGTAATTGAAATCGAGAAGAGGGTGTTAGATGTTCAGAAACTAATATCAGGATTTTAAGACCGATAAAATGCTCGTGTTCCTTTGGTTAAATGAGACAAAGACAGAACTTTTTTCATGTCCTGGATCAGAAAATAGCTCTGTAAAATAAAATAAATGTGTGGCTGAAGATTACTATATTAGATTTCTGAAGAGCAAAAACCTTCTTCCTATTTGAATAGAGAGCCAGTACATTTTGGCAAGCATAGAAGCTACACCTGATCCCCACCACTGACTTATTTAATTCCCCTTCAGTGGAAGGGTTTCCTTGTAGGGAAGTTAGACATTAAGAAACACTTGTTTCTTTTTAGCACTTTCTATCACAGAATAATAAGCATCCGGTGCTAATTATCACAGAATTAACACAGCAAAGTGTCCTGCCATTTATCATTTCTAAGCTATATTACTAGAGATAGCTATGACACAAAGAAAATTTCACCTATATTTTTTTTGCAAAGATAGCTTCTACAGCTAGCAGCTACTGCTGGCCTGCATCCAAATCTGCTCAGAGAAATCCTCAATCTTATATTACTATTAATAAGTATCTTACCACTTGAAGAAAAATCTCAGATCTAGAGAGTTAATCAAGGCAAGAAAACACCTTTATTGCTATTTTTGATGATGTGACACCAAGAATTGCAAGAAGTTGTTGAAGGTTATGTAACATATTCTTTAAAATCCAGACCAAATAACTGGGCAACGTGCATTTATTAAATATTATTAATTAAATGTTATTTATTCTGGTGCCTTGTCACATAGTCATATTGTTTCTCATCACTTTCTTTATTTCACTTGAGTCATGCATATTCCTACAAGAGAAACTGTAAACTGGAAACTCCAAAAGTGGGATTACCATATTTTTCTAAAAATGCAAAATGTAGTATTTATCAATTGACTTTTAAGATGCTCATTTAATAACTTAAATGGAACATCTACAAAATAGTTCCAGGCATCATATTTGTCTCTCTGGCCAGGCTGTAAAGAGAGTGAATGCTAGTCTTGGATGGAAAACCTTGTTTATTTCCCATTTAGAAATACACTTAATTTAGAACATTTCAGGTGCTTTATCTTTCCTTCCTGAAAGGTAAATCACGCTTACAGCACTGATGCTGTAAGATAAGTCTGTACTCTTAATTCTAGCAACACAGACTCAATATAAGTGTTTAACCTTTGCTACAGACCATACAGAACATTAATTCAAGCAATCTGTTCTGGAATAACACATTTTGTGGATTTTATGAAACTGTGAAATAATAAAAAATGTCTTTGTCTGAAAAACTCACATTTAGTACATCAATTGACACAATACTTGTAGCGATACATATTGAGGAATATTTTAAAATATTGCTGTAAAAACTACCTTTCACAATTGAAAACATATTCTGAGTTGCTCTCGGCTTCTCTGACAATGACTTTGTCACAGTACCAGTGCTGGGACTTGGTGCTGGCCTCACAGCGCAACAGCACCTTCTGCAGAATCCCAAGGGACACAGCTTCCACTTCAAACACACTGACCTGGGAGACAGAGGAGACAGCAATCTGCAATTTGCCACCAGTAAGGCAGCCCAGAAACTGAAGTGTGTTAAAAGCCTGACCAATTCCCACAATGTACAAAGATTTCAACTGGTTTGAATGACAGCTGGACTGTATTCAAATAGTTTGGATCTGAAGAGTTAAATGTCTTTTGATGAAGTGTCACGGTAAATAGGAAAGCACAGCCAAAACCTGGATGCAGTAATAGTCCCCCAAAATATTGGGCTTTTACAGCCACCATCCAAAATGCTGCACACAACCCTTTAGTATTGTTTCAATGCCTTGCCATTTACATTACTCTTCTCTTGGTAAGAAACATTTAAATCTGTAATTTCCTTTGCTGATATTACTTTAAATCAGACCTTCTCATAATGTTCTCTTTTTGGTTTCACCTCCTCTACTTACATTTTATTCTACTGCAAGAAACTGAAATCTGACATGCCATTTTCCCCTTGTTATTCATTTAGGCTTGTGCTTATAGTTGGAAAAGATTGTTTTCAGAGAAGCATGAAGCTGATCAGGTCCAGGTTGATAATTTTCTGTCACAGTGAAAAGCATACAGCTTTCTATCTCTAAATGTAATGGTCCAGATCATTCTTCTCAGTACAAAGAAAATGAAGGAAAGAAATACACTGGGAAATTCATATCTGTAAGGTTCTCGGTCCTCAGCAAATGGCAGCACTGAGACTGCCTGTGCGACATTACTTATCCCTTGTGTATAGATAATATATGATCACAAGCTAGTCTCCCTGAAAGATTCCTGCCTCAAAGTGTGCTCAGGAGGACGACAGATTTTTCAGTATCTCCTTTTGTCTTCATTATCTTTATGTCTCTATGCATTATTTACTGCAACCACCCAAAGAGCTCAGTGAAATAGAACTGATTTCCCCAGTGACTTCACCTTTGCACTTCTCCCATAGCATCCTGGTTTTCTGCAACTGCTTAATCTCTTTTTTAAAAGGCCATTCTGCATAATATTTCAATTTACCTACACAGTTAAAGTGCAGAGTTTGCTGCTAAAAGCTGTCAAAGATGCAGAGCGGTGTGGGTGCTCAGCTGAGAAACAGAGGGGTTAATTTACTGAAATATTTAACATTTCAAAGAGCTTACTAGGTGTGCAGAGCACAATTCTATTTGAACTCAGTTACAGCTAGGGTTGTTCAGAGAAGTTAAACTGGTTATGCAGCAATACATAGGCATGAAAAATGTGGTCACTCAGGAAGGTTTTATTTTAAGCAATTTGCCCAATACAATGCAGAATATCTGTGGCAGGGATGAAATCAAGTTGTTCAAGTCAGCATTCCACTATCTCTGCCAAAAATTATATATCCCACTCTCTGCTTTGCTGCTCCAAACAATCCACTGTCTTATTCACCCATTTCCATAACAAAGTGCCCTTTGAACCAGTCCCCTTAGCCCTTGTGTAAATAATATGCTGAATTGACAATCAAGCTGGCTAGAATAATGCCCCCCCAGAAAATTCCACCTAAATTCTGCATTTTAATTTGAATAGAACTTTATCTCTCATACATTAGTAACAGCATAAAATATCTATTTTAAAATAGTATAGATACATTTAAAGTTTCCCAGTGGGTTATGGCTGTTTTTAGCACTTTAGGTACTGCTTTTCATTTGATAATTAAGTGTTCCACTAACAATTGACACTGCTGGTTGTACATACAAGTGTTAATCCTCAATACACCACAAAGGAAGAAACAGGCTCAACAGAAGGTCAAAAGAAGGCTAGTGGCAGAGTTAACATTAAATTCAGTAGTTCCTGGAATTTAACCATACTGCAGAAAATCAGAATGATGTATATTTTACTTTTGGAAGAACTAGGAGGTAATAAATTTAAAGAAAAATTACTTTAACTCTGTCCTGTATTAATTACAATACTTTACTATTACACATTAAAAAGAATACATAACAAACAGACCTACTAAGACCTAAAATCATGGAACAATTTCTGTACACTCTTTTGGAGCCAGCTGTATCTCATCATACTTTAAAAGGATATGTTTTAAATTCATAGGCAGCTCTTCTCACCATCTGAAGCTGAGGCCCTCAAACAATTTTTATTTCCCCTTTCCTGCATATATTTTCACTCATCCTATTAAATCCTGGGTCAGTAGAAAAATATTTTCCTTAGTTCTTAAAAGATATTTAGCTAAACTTATGTGGTATGCTTTATTGCTATTTTTAGGAACCTGTATACAATTACTTAACTATATTCACAAGGCTAGACAAATTGTTTTTCAGACTTACCATTCCTCTCTGAAATGGCACTGGTGTACCACTTTTATGCAGAAGTCTTAGACCAGAATCTCCTCTTTTTCCATAGATGCACAAATAAACTGCACAGTCTGTGTCAGCTTGCTCCAAGTCACCAGTGTGGACATAAACACGGTATAAAGCAACTTCCAGAAATAACCCAAAGAAGAAAATGCAAGTTATATGGAATCACAACTAATTTTAGTCACTATTATAGCTTAATGCTAACAATGACAGTATGTCTGATCTGCAATTAGTTTTCTGGAAGATACTCTCCACAAATCAGTCAAACTATTTGCTTTTAAGATTGCTAGGACCACAATTGGGTTGGCATTAACACTGAAAACCAGGTAGCCAGTATATAAATAACTACACACATACTTGGATAGATAGGTTTTCCAGCTTCCACTACTGGAAGTTCACACAGAAATTCTCTGTCATCACGATTCTTTGATAACCATGTGTTTTCTGGAAAATTCAATGTTTTCTTGCTCCTTAGGTGTTGCAGTATCACCTGAATGAGAAGCAATTCCAAATATAACTCAGTTCCAGTGCTTTTTTTCCCAACAGCAAAACATAATTTTGTATATACAATTTTTTTTCTCTCTCAGAAAAAAGTAACACAATCAGTAAATATGGCACACAAAATTGAAGTATGAAAATATCTTTGTTTTGGCCACTAGTATGCAACAAAAAAATCTGTAGTTGTAATTTCTGGGTTTGCCATTTGAAATGTCCCCAGGTCTGGTTTCAGCACGTAAACCACCTCTATGTAACGCTGTCTGGAGGACTGAGACTGAAAACCTTCTGGTAGCTGCTGTTACATGACACTGAGCTTTTGGAAGATGTGGAAAGATGGACACAGATTTTTTATTTTAGAATGAAAACAGGATGAAACTCATCATCTACATCTTTCTGAACTCTGACAAGTAGAGGACACATTGGAATATTAAATCAATTTGTATTATCTTTGTCTCTTCTACAGCAAAACAAAAAACCTGGATACTATCACCATCTATAAATTCTTAAGATGGTTAGAATTCCTATTTCTAGAGTTAGTTGCTGCTGTAGAGTAAGATAGCTGCCTCACTTGTTTCCTATAATTACAGCACTCTTTATTACATTTTATGAAAGCAGTTTTTGTTGGTCTTGAATTACCATACTTACTACAGGGGTTCTACAGAGGTCTTGACTAGAAAAGGAAATAAAAAATTATCTTTCTGCAGTTGTGTTTCTGAATGTGCATATAATATGCATAAGCTTTGCAAACAAAATTATGAAAATAAGTACTCACATCCAAATTCTAACACTTAGGGAATCAGGGCAATAGATGTCTTTATCTCACTTTTCCAATAAAATATTATTTAAAGTAAAATGAACACTGCTTTCAACACCAAAGCATGTATTTATTCTAATGTGAAACACTTTGGCAGCACTGATTCCTAATCTCTAATATTTATTGGCAGTGCTCCCCCCCACTGATTCATAACAATTGCATATTTTTAACTACTTTTTCAGAAAAACACAGCTTTCAACATGATTTATTTTTTGATCTGAAATTAAGTTTTTTTTAAATCCCTGACTTACCCTGTGAAATTTGGAGCAAAATATTAAAGAAATATTTAGTTACCAGCAGGCTGGAAAGTGGAATATTTATGCTCACATTCAGTTTTACTACAGTCTCAGTTAAGACCTTTGGGTTAATGTAAAAATCTGCTATTATTGCCTAATTCTGATTGTCTAAATCAAGCTTTTTAAGATTATTCAAATGAAAAAGAATAAACTTGTTTCCTTTACAAATTCAACATATGAAACAGACAAAAAATTCTTATCCCAGTTCTAAAAAATGTTTTACATGGGTGTCAGCCTTAGGAAGCATTTAGAACAAATTTTGTCTGGTGAGCATCCCTAAATTTCAAGAGAAAAATAGAATTAAAAAAAAAAAGAAGAAATTATTCACCAAATTGAAAAAAAAGACAGCAGCTTTTTTGTCCTGAAAATATTCATAATTATGAGAAATGGTGGGGCCTGTTATAACTTACTTTGTTTACCTTTCAGCAAACTTTGTTCATTCCTGGCAAGGTATTGTCATGGAATGATTTATGCTCCATCATTTTCAATTTTTCAGAGCTGGAATTTAAAGCTAGAATCTCCCTAACACACTGAAGAGTACAGAAACACTAAAGAGCATGGCAAATTTTCAGAAAGCAAAATTTGGTCAAACACATCAGTACAATAAAATTGCTGCAGGAATTAGGAATAATTGCAAAATAATTCTGCATATTTCTATCCCCTAGCAGATGAACTGTATCAGTGTTTTTGTCATCTCTACAGCAATCTAAGAACACAATTCAGTAACAACTTAGCCCAACCAGCATTTATAGATTCATAAACATATGTCTTTACGAAAATATGGGCCCTTATTTCACATAAATTTAATAAAATGGGAACAAAATCACTGTAAAAGTCTTACCCTCTGTAAGTTCCACTCAGGTTGTTCATTTGGTAATCCATCAAGTTCAATTCTTATCTTGTAGATATTCCCAATGTTGTTTATTTTAACCTGAATAAAGTCAGAATAGTACAGTATAAAACTACATAGAACTACATCTTTATCTTTGCTATTGATTCTAGATTTATCTGAACCATTGTAGCATCTGAGTGTTCAGGAACAATGCATAATATTTGATTGGCAGGTTTGAGGTTATAGGATTCAGAAAACACATTTCTTCTGTTTTAAGCAGATCACTGTCTGAGCCCCAGTTTGACCAGATTACAACCCAGTGGAATCACAATGCTTGCCAGGAGAAGGATTTGGCAGGTATTTGAACTCTACAAAGTTTCAAGAGTCAAAATTTGGTGAGGGTTCTTCATGAGAGAAATGACCAATACAAAATTACATCCTATAAATAAAATTACATCCTCTGACTACAAGTCACAAATCTTTCATAATTCTGCACAGATGACCATAAACCCTAATATGCCAACATGAAGGATATAAAATTTTTGAGACCTCAAAGAATAGCTCCCAAGAGCTGGCAGAACATCTGCGAAACTTCAGAAGTCACTGATGGTATATTTGCTTTCTGACTATGATTTGAATTCATTTGCCCTTCCAAGCATTATGTGTGCTCTTACTTATAAAAACTATTCTATGCGAGCCTATCTTCAAAACTTTAAATGAACCCTCACTTATCTAGGGTTCATTTGAAGTTTAGTCACTATTTAAAGCAAGCATAAATAATTTTAAATAATTTGTAATGTACCTTTAGGAAAGGAAGAGTGCGTTATTATGTTATTTCTCAAATAATAATTCTATTCATGAAAGCTTGGTAACAGCCTATTCCTTTCCACCATTTACATCCAAAAAGCTATTTACATTGGACAAAAATTATCTTCATTCTCTTAGAAACACTACTATATTATCCCCTCTTTCTTTACTTTCATTAACAAAAAGCACTCTTCTCATTTCAGAGTTCAGAATTACCTCATTTCTTGTATCAGTTTTTAGCTCTTTGTGCTTTTATGTAAGAAAATTTCATGTTACATTCACAGCATTGTCATGCTTTAGTCAAAGACTTCTAAAAGCAGAAAACTTCTACTCTGGATTTCCTGAACATTGAAATGCACATTGAAATTTCCTAATGGTTGCTTGAGACAGAATCTGTGGGTTTCACACGTGTTATTTGTGTTGGTATACTTGTTACATCAACCTGAATTCCATTAACCAAATAAATGTGATCACCAGGCTTGCAACACTGATGTGACAATATAGTTTCCTTCTTTTCCATTGGCTTAAGTACCTTTGTTTTGCTCTGCCAAGTCATATCCTTGCTTATGCTGCATAATATTCCCTCTAAAAGTAGTCTTATTGGAAGTAACCTGGAAACTTTGGGATTAAAGCAGCAGTAAAGTATGGGCATATATTCAGCTTGAATGCAAAAAAAAAAAAAAAAAAAGTATTGTCTTTCCCCCATTTCACAAACAAACTAACCTACTTCTCAAGTAATATGGGATCTGGTCTTCTCATTCACAGAGCTGATGCTCACTGCGTAAATAAGGCTATCCTGTCATCTGTTTATTCTAATAAATCCCTCTTAGACATTTAGTCAATAAAGATAAAAGGTTGCACATAATTTCACGTATCAACACAACACAAAACAAAATGTGCTAGACTAAGTCAGAATGCAAGGGTCTTTTCTTCCTAAAATAAGTATAGATCTTCCAGAAGTAACATGCTGGTAGTCTTGATTTTTCTCATGCACTGTCTTAGGAATGATTAAGCAGGCAATGAAAACTCACATGGGTAAGGTAAAATAAGAAAGAAAAGGCCACATATTGAATGGTTCTCAATTCTAAGGTTAATTATACTCAAACTTTTCATAATTGCACATGTTGCTGACAAATGTAAGGTTAGAGACCTTTAGACTGATTCCTAATTGGTGGATTATTTTAGCCTTTCAGAAACTGCTTTCTTCCTAGAACTCCTGGCCAGAGCTATGATTAAGCTGATTACCTTAAAAATAAAATTTGGTATCATCTGTTCCAGAACATATCAGTGAAAACATAAACGCTCAAAGACAGAAGTGGTAAGAAGAAGATGTAACTTTTTTTATGTCTTACATTCCTATCCTTATTTCAAGATATGTTCTGTTAAACAAGTACTGCATAAAGTTTAAGGAGAAAAAGAGAAGAAAGAGCTTTTACTCGTAGGCTTTTTCTTTGTGAATTTATTCACTGCAGACTAAAGGGTGAAAAGCACTTCAGTAGCATTTGCTATTTCATGCCTGAAAGCTATAGTGTCAATGTGATGTAAAAAAACCCTAGGAGTAGCCCCAGGTGCTGAGAGAAAGATCCTGCTCTCTCACAAGATCAATATCTGCAGCACACAGCCATAATGGGCCACATCCATTTTAGAGAAGAAAAATTGGTCCATCTCTTTTGAACATATGGATTAACTTTTCAAACATGCCATTATCCAACATTGCTTATAAATTATTTACTAATTAGAAGAACAAGATTCCCTGTGGATCATAATCTATAGCCTATATGCTTAGAAAATAAACATTATGGTAGGTTGTCTCCTTGCCTATGCCCTATTCATAGAGAGAATTATGATTATTAATATCATTGACAGTATCAATCTTGGATTGTACAAAGATTGTATCAGAAGAGTTGATGAGTCCAGAAAAAATCATGAAATATATAACTTCTGCTTTAGCTACTGAAGACAATGTTACATGCTTCTCAGACAGAGATTTAAGCAAAACAGAAATTTCAGCTCCTTTGGTAATTTCCTCTCAGCCTACCTAGACATAATTTCCTGATTAAAATAGAGGTGGGGTTATTCTTAAATAAAAGCAGAAACCTTGTGTTTTCACAAAGTGGTTACGCATAGATTTCATTGGACTTTTAGTTATTCCACAGGTAAACATCTCTGACATTTCAATCACTTATAATATGGCAATTCTAAAATGGCTTTTCTTCTTTAATTGAACGAGTTCCACAACATACATTTTATAGTATGCTTTGAAAACTGTATGCCTGAAATTTAATTACTAAAGATCCCTAAACAATATGCAAAGTCTTATATCAGGCATGGTTTGTTTCAAAATGAATAGTTTTTAAAGCTGGTTTCAAATCAATTGCCTTAAAGAAATCAATTTACTTTTATGCAGTAAATATAGGAGCAAAACATTTTTTGTTTTCACACAACAGGATAATCCTTGGAAAGATCCCTATTAAAATAATGTTCTTAGCCTTCATTAGCTACCTGAAATTCATCTTCCTGCCTGGGAAAAAACAGCTGCTTCCTGTTGTCCTTGCCAAGAGTTACTGGACCGGTTAATCCTCTGTCTCCATATATCCAAAGAGCAACACTTGCTTCAGTTCCTGCATTTCCTGTCAGTATTGACACTTTCCATTCATCATCCGAAGGAAGGGGACTCTCACCACCTTGGGGATTTCTCATTTCCTCTGTGAAATACAGAACGTTAGTGGGAGATGAAAATTGACATGAAGCTGCCAGTTGCTGTTGTAACTTCAGCACATAAGGAGGCCATAACAGCAGGGGGATTGTATTTTTTCATGGCAAGTGAGATAGTCTGAAAAGATTGATTTATGTTTCTTGTCTAGACCAAAATGTACTGATTAGTTGAGCTACAAGAATCAGCTGGAAAAGAACAAGTTCTCTCTCACACACGCCATCATCATATTCTTTGTACATATTCTGGAGCAGAGCAAGGATGCTATGGTGCAGAACTCTGACCATTAAATTGATATTTCTGGTTCCTTAGTCTGACATTTAGAAACAAGTACAATTTCTCCTCTAATGCCTCGTGTTGGGACATCATTAGCAGAGTCACATGTCTGAAAATACACACAATTTTCATTTCAAATTTTAAAAAATCAGAATATTAATGTTCTTCAAGTTAAATATCAACTAAATACTGTAAAAAAAATTTAAATTCCTCAATATAGCCTTGCTTAACCATACTTATGCAGTGCCATCATTTGGATTAAGGCATGCTCTGCATGAATGAGACAATAGCAGCACAGTAGCACTTCATGAATAAATTTCACAGCTCTAATGGCTAAACAAATATAATTTTGTAAAATATAGGCTTCACGTTAGAACAACACCTAGTGATCTTCTACCTACCCTTAAGAGAAACACACATACATGCAGAGATATCAAATCACACCTCTGCACAGGAAATATGGAAAAACCAGACTATTAGGGTAAAGGAATTTAGTTTTGAATAATTTAATCAAAGTGGAATTTACAAACTTCAGATGTCTGGAACACTGCTTTTCAATAACGGGACCACTGACCATGGAGCCCTCTCCAAAAGAGGGAATCCTTTTGCCAGGAATTTATAGTCTGTTCTGACACAAGAGGCAGTTATAAGCCCCAAATTAGAAAAGATGAACCTACACATTGCCAATATACTCTGTCCTCCAGGGGTTTCCAAATTGCTCACATGAGCACTTTCCATGTGACTGCAAAAAGAATTTTTAGTATGTGACCAATATGAATCTGTTGAAGAATTCCCAGTGCATCACTGTGGATGTTTCTGCTGCACTGCATAAGTTATGTAGTGGTATTAGAGTCCTTTCCTTTTTTGTTTGCTTGATTAAAATGCTGTACTGAGTTTCTCTGGATGGAGTTTTTCCCTTCACTCATTTCACCGCCTTTACATCAAAGGGAAAAACCAAGCACTCAACCAAACAAAGTCAAACCAAAACCAGATAAAAAACAATTTATGCAAAAGCTGTCCCTCAATAATAGCAGCCCTTTTTTCTTAAAAGTTGTATTCAAAAGGAATTATACAGTTGGTTGGATCATCAGGTTGTCCTATATTTAAATCAACATGGTAACTAAAGCATAACTGAATTATGATCCACTAGCATTAATATCTTAACTGATGCGAAGTATTTACACAAGGACTTAGGATCCATAAAAAGTTCTATAATAAATAAGGACCGACTTCTGGAATCACAGGAAATTTAGCACTGGCAAAGATTACAATATTTGGTTAATCAATTTTTAAGAAATTCAGAACTGTAGTATCATGACTTTTACAGCAGTGCCTCTAACAGTAGAATTATGACTTTGGAATGGTCATAGTGATTTAGAATAGGCATTACTGGCTGGTTTTATTGTATTCTTCATCATGACTGAGAGCAAGTTATTCTGACAGGAAAAAGAAAATCAACACACCAAAAATAAAGCAAGAGGCAAACATCGATAGGTTACCTGAATAATAACTTAATTACACTTGTCTTTCAGTGCCTGAAATAACAGAACTATAGCAAATTGCTTTGGTATGATAAATATTTCTGAGAACTTGACTAGAAGATTTTCTGTTACTGTAGTTGCCTAACTTCTCACCTGTAACTCTGAAAGCTAGAGTTCTTTCCAGCTATCCAAAAACACAACTTTCTTACAGCAAAGAGATTAAAATGTTCATCAAATGTAAAGGTATTCAAGAAATATAAGGAATCCCATGCTGCTTCATGTGCTTAGGACAAGAACTCCAGACTTGGGCAGTTGCTCCCCAGAACAGTTACTGCAACCTCAAACTACCACCTCTTGGAACAATTATATGCACAAACAATTCACAGACATGGGATGCTTTCTGCCTCATAAATTACTGGCTCTTCTTACAAATGGAAATCGGTAGCATTGATTTGCCACAGGCTAAAAATATTCCAGTCTGAAAAGAGGATTTGATGGTTGCCCTGCATTACTCATGGGATTTTACACACTTCATGACACCATGCTGTAAATCTATTGTGACAAAAATTAATTCTAATAGGCCTGCATGAGAATGTTGAAGTCACAACCCTCTCCACAACTTCACAGAAATAACTTTTTTTAAAATTTACTTACTTATCCTGAATGTAACACAAAAGAAAAATTATCTTGTCTGAGAAAACAGTATGATTGAGTGACACTTTAAATGAACCATCAGAAAAACTAATCTCTTGAGCAGAAGTTTGGGCAATAAGGTGGATGTATTTTTTATTACACCTTTGTGTATCATCATTTCTAATGTTAACTGAGGTGGAAATGAGATCAGATTTTATTTGTACCTTCTAAGTAAAATATATTTAAAAATTAATAGCAACTAATAATACCAGACATACAGGAAAAGAACGTGGAGGATATAGAGAGCATTTCTCAGAGATACACTTTGTTAATACCAAACCACAGAAGTGTTCTCAGGGTCACAGACTGCATTTGTGTCATGGATGTTAATGACATGTCAGCTATTAAGTTGAAGCTGGGACCTGACAACATCTCTGTACAGTGAAAGAAGTTTCTTGAGGAACACTGAACTCACACTGCAATGAGAGAAGTCTCAAATGCTATAGTGTGGTTTTCAGTTTAATGAGTCCTAAATCAATTATTATTTGTGAAAACAGAAGTCAAAATTCATCTACCAGTTAGCAGATACGGACATAGAAAGGAGAGTCTGGTCAGCCTGAGTTAATCTGCTCTGAGTTTGCTTACTAAGCCCGCTGTTGAATTGTAAACTCAGTAGAAGCATCACCCTTTTCCAAATATTAACTCTCGGTGAAAAATAGAAAATAACAATTTAATAAATAAGATTATAAAACTCAAGGCTCACCTGTACATGTCAAAAGACATATGTTGAGTGAAAAGTATCTTACTAAAAAAATGATCATTTTATTTGAAAGACAGAGTAACTTTGATATTTCTATTCATTTTCCATAAGCAGAATCTATATTTATGAATGCCAGAAAAACTACTTACAAAGTGCTAGAGACTCTATGTAACCAATTTCACGGCAGATATTGCTTCTATAAAAGGATCCTTTGTACCCAACCCTAAAAACATCCAGCTTCTTTGAAAACAGGCTTGATGGCTTGTGTATTGTTGTCATGGGTTTCAGACACAGCATATCTGCTGACAACCCACCACACTTCAGGAAGGCTTTGTGACACAATGATACAAGATGAAGTCTGACAGATTAGAAATTGGGGGTTTCGAGCTAAAAATGGAAAAAATATTTCAAAAAAAAATATGTATTTATAGTGATTCACACCTATGCTTGGAATTTAGCCATAACACTTTGTTGAACTAAATTTAATTAAAATCCAGACTGGTACTTCCTATTACACTCTATGAACAAGGATGCCAGATGTGATGTCTTGTTCACATAGACAAACTTTTAATGTACACCTTTAACAATATGAGGATCAAGTCCAAAACTAAATCAGCAGCCTACCTGAATTATTTGCTACATAAATGCCTTTGAGAACACCTGTAACTGAGTATGTCTCCCATACTGGAAGCTGCAATATAATCTTGTCTTTAAAGATCTTTTAAAGTAACAGATATTTTTCCACCATGTGAATGCACCCCCATGTGCTGTTTGCAGCTCAGCAGTTTCCATTTACCCCACCTATTGATACCACCCACCTAGGTGATATTCGTATCACCTTTTTGTGGTGATATGACATGATTCAGAGTGTCAGGGTCTTTGGGTACATTGAAATAAGAAATGCAGGAAGCAAACCTGATCACCCCCACTCTTTAAGAGAAGTATCACTCCCTGTTTTGTTTAGTCATTTATTTCCTTAGTTTGGCTACTAAGATGCTGAATATTCCAAAAATTTTTGTCTTAGACCATTTATGCAATGTATTTAGCTAAAGAGAAAGCGTTTTATTCTAGATAAACATGCCTGCTAGACCATGACTCCAGAAGCATGACCAGAACATTATTTATCTAACTCCTACCTGCCAAATCGTAGGTATAAATCTAGCATACAATGCATCAAAACATTCCTCTTTTGTGGTTTTATTCTAGATAAACATGCCTGCTAGACCATGACTCCAGAAGCATGACCAGAACATTATTTAACTCCTACCTGCCAAATTGTAGGTACAAATCTAGCATACAATGCATCAAAACCTTCCTCTTTTGTCCAGTGAACCATAAAGCAGAAAACATGAGTGTGAGAGCATAAATGAGAAATATTCCATTATTTCAGTGAGCTTTAGATAGGGTTCTGCACCATATCAACCTCTTAATTTCCCCAGAAATATTCAATCAATAGGTTACTAATTAATTTTTTTAATGAAGTTATTTAACAAGTTACTCAACCTGCTGATTGTTGCCTTATCAATAAACCACATTCCAATGATCCTTTTTAGAAAAAGAGTAACTGGAAATGTATTTTATGTAGTGTGCTTGGGTGCATAATTCAATAATCTAGAAAAAACTTTCATAGCCCTTCCTGAGCCAAGTCTCTGCAAACACACAAGCATAAAACATGTACCACAGCTGGTTTGTAAACTGCTATTTACTTGAGGGTGGGGGAGTTGAAGGTCTTTGAGGTTCTGGCTCCTGGGCTTTTGTGGGTTGGATTTGAGATCCTCTGAATTCTTTCCTCTCTTGTTTGGGTGCTGCAGATGTTCCCATAGGCTTTTCCCGGCCAACTAAAACAATGAAATGTGAAATCTGTCACTAGCTAGAAGCCATTAGCTTTTTCTTTCTCAGAAGCTAACAACAGATCTCACAGTTGTTCCACACAATAGACATCAAAATCCTTTTCCTATTGTTAGCAGAATGCTATAAAAATTGGGAACAGAACTGACATACCAATTAAAGCCCATTCAATGTTTTAAAAATCTAAGCAAAAATTTAACAGTGATGTAGGAAAAAAATGACTTGTTAACATGTAGCTTTCCCCAAAATGTTTTTTTTTTCTTAAGAGTGGAAGTGCTGAAATGAAAATTGCTAGAGGCCATTTGAATAATAAAAAGTAAATTGATATTGCAAATACGAACATGTCAGACCGACAATATTTATTGCTTGTGTAGAAAATATTAGCTCCTTTTTACATTCCTTTTAGTGAGCAACACAGATTCAGGAGTGCTGAAGCCTGTGACAAAGTAATATTTAGCTTTATTTAATGACACCAATAAGCACTGCCTTGTTGAGAATTTCTATTGAAAACACTGCTCTTCCAAAAGGTAATAAAGGAAAATAATTTCCTAATTTCTACAAGGACACAGTGATTAAAATACTCCTATAACCCTGCAGCAAACAGGGACAGAACAGTAGGGATGTGCTTACAGTCACTTTCATAATGCTTCAATCACAGTGTACATGGAAAAATTAGTAAGAGTGGTTGTAGGTTTTGAGACAGTCTTTTTGCCAAGATAAGTTTGTTCAGCTTGTGTTTGGAAAAAATCTGAGCAACTTCTCAATTGCAAACTGATGTCCATTTAGCCTTTTCACGAGTTGTTTCATTTCCTGATGTTTGTTGTCAAGTCCACAGATAATACATTTCCTGCAGAATAGTGTTTCCTGCAGTTATAATCTAAGTCACTTTGGTAATCAGGGTTTCACCAAATTAAAAGCTTTGTTCTCCTGAAGGGGAAAAACCAAGCAGGCCACCCAATGACAGTGATCCAGAGTGTGCTGAGACCAAATTTCTGAGTCCTGGCTAGTTGACTAGATCAGCTCTCTACTGAGGAAACATTTTGACCGCAATATCTCCCAAACCTGACTTTGGGACAGAGGAACAATGTAATGAATATTCTGGGTGGGGTGTACAATGTATTTCGCATCACTAAAAAAGAAACTGAACACACCAAATAGGCTGCCTTAAAAGTCTACTAATACCCCTATAAAATCAGGGAAAACTGTAGTAGAGTTAGCAGCACGACAACATTTCCCATGCTTCCAAAATCTGTGGCCAGAATGGGGAATACACACAGGAATGTCATCTTTATCTTGTCCCGTTTCAACTCTCATTTTCAAAAGCAGAGCAGTAAAACAATTTACATCTAGTGCATCATTATTGTCGTTAAAAGAATGGAATTAACTTAACTGAATATGTAGGAGAAATTAAGTGTGCATACAATAAAATTTTCACTTTTAAAACTACTGAAACGCAAGGGAAATTGTGGCAATGTATCTTTTACACTTCTGCTTTGAATTTTGTTCATTAAAAATGCTAATTACTAAATAAAACTATATGCTGTTGAGAAATCACATACATTTGATGACCTGTGGGTAGAAAAAGATATTTCTCTCTCCAGTGTTAACAACTGGCTTCGTTTGGCCATCTGGCAGAAGACCAATGTATATCCCTTTATTTTGCACTGATTCCAGGCTCACAGATCCAGTTTCCAAATTCTTCTCAATTTTAAAATGGCAGTATTCATCACCTGTGCCCTAAGAAATTGATCACAGAAACATGAATTCAACAATTGAATGAATGTAGCTAGAAGTCCTCTTTTTAAAAAGTCTTAATTATTACTACTTTCCAGTAATATTTCAGATTAACTTTACATTCTTCAATATGATACATTACTACACATGCAGAGACATACCTGCAGCTAATCCCTGTTTATTCATTTACGATCAGAAAGACTAATCAAATAAGTTAGGTAAGTCAAAAACCAAGTGAAAGCATTCTGATTTATGTTAGTATTTAGGCAAAGGCTAGGATATATTCAAAGGAGTTTCCCACTTAAACACTTTCCAGAGGATTAAGGAATGTGAAAATATCTATATCAGAACACATAGGATATTTCTACACAAATTTTATGCATAGCCCAGATTTGCTAATGCCACATAATAGAGCATGTATTAAATAGATGTAATTAGTTTTTTCCCCAATTTCATAGCATTTACAAGTTTAATTTCAAAACCTTTAGACACTTTTTATGCAGACATCCTGATCCATCGGTGAGAGGACTAGTGAAAAATAAGATACTCACAAAGCCAATATTCAAAAATATTGGATCAAATATTTTAATCTCTGAAAGTGTACTCAAGGAAATGAAAAAATTCTCATGGACCTTGAGACATGTTCATATATACCTGAGAACTTACACAGCTCAGTTTCATATTCAGTTGTCTTAAACTTCCAAATAAAAATTATGGAAAAATATTTCTTACATTTATTGACTTAGATGAGCAGAATCACTCTTTAAAATTAGTGAAGTATACAGTCACATCTTAGTTATTCTTTAGTGGATTTTATCTGTATCATCTGTCTAGCAGTACATAAGTTTTAACTAATACAATCAGATCTTTACTGATTCCATCAACTGCCAAATTGACACAACACCTTCTCTTGCTATATTTTTCTGCTTTTGCTTTGGCAAATGAAGGAAAAGATTTGAAACATTTTTAATCTGAACAAAGTTTTATGTCAAGTAAATAAAAAAATGTTCTCTCCTATCACTGACAATTCACTCAAATTATCTGCAGAGGGAAATACAAACAATAACTGCTTACTGTTCCATCACACTGGTCATCTTTGATCTTCAGATACATTCTTGGTTTTTTCACACTTTCAAACATGCAGTGCCCAGAGCTGATTTTATGCACCTTCCAGTAGGATTCCTGCTGCTGCTGACCTGCTCCACTGCAGCTCCCATCAGGTCTAAGGGACAGAGCCTGGCAGAAACTTGTGTTGAGCAGAATGATGGCACCATGATGAAACACACCCTTTAGATCAGAAACAAAAAGTCCTCTGTGAACAGCACAGCTTTTCTCCATATTAAATTTTGATACTGATACTGCTCCTACCATTTAGTTTTAAGAACTTACTCATGCATGTCCTTGCATAAAAGATAAAAGAGTCAGTCTCAAGTAATTCAAGTATACCTCCAGTCTTTGGATATTTGCTGCTTTCTGTGCAGGCACTAACCAGAGCAGTGGAAATCCTTTCCTACTCTGCAGCATCCTGCTTTTTGTTGCTCAGCAGCACAACACGACATCCAGAGAACAACGAGAGTGGCAAATTAAGGAACTTGTCTCTTTTCAACAGCTACTTTTTGAAGGTCTACTAGGAAGTTTAGGGTCTCATCTTTCCTGTGTTACTGCCCACTCTATTTGCATGTTCCAGCTGCGGTATCAGCTCCGCTCCCCCCGGAGCAGCGAAGGGAACATTCCCAAGTGCCGCCTACCTGTTAAACTGTAGTTGAGCTCCACCTCGTGGAAGAGAATCCCTCTTTTACCTCGCAAACCTCTGAAACTCCGTTACAAACAATCTGCTTTATAACAGAAACTTTTAGAATGGTCTTTCTAATTTTTCTCTGCCCACCTTACCTTGACATGCACGACAAATTCTTTGGAAATCCCAGAATATCCTGCTGCTTCATCAGCTACTTTGCCTTGGAGATTGAAAGCCACAGTGTGACCTGGGTAACTGGCTGACTCAAGAATGGCACAAGAGTTTGGTTGAAGGTGGACACGGAGCTCACAGCAGGCCTTGTCTTTGCTCTAACATAGTCAAAGAAGGAATAACAAATTATATTAACTATATGGCAAAAATCCAAACAACAGAGAGAGTATTAAAACAGACTTTCTGTGTTGTTCAAGTTCCCACAATACTAGCGGTCTAGTACAAAAATCTTTCTATTTTTCAGATTTGCAATTGTGAAATTGTGGGCTCTGTGGAATTTGACAGAAACAGTTCATTGTAAGATGACACAGATCAATAATATGAAAGATACCTGGGCGCTTCACTTGGAGAGTGTGCCACAGTCTATAAAGATGGCAAAGTAAAAAGTTGACAGAGACAGGAAATGGGCCATGGTAACTCTTGGCCACCACTCCACCTTCTCTTGCTTTTGTGTTTGTTCCCATTCATTTATACTGTTCTCACAGAAAACACTCAGAGAATTGAAAGTTTTACATGAAAGAGTAAAGAAACATACTTTACTTCATGATTACCTGTTCAACTTGGCAGGCTTTATAATCCCATTATATGAAATAAATAATTTAATATTTTTATCAAATCATTTATCAATACATTATAATACATATTTACATATTTTATCAACTCAACATCATTCTCATATTTAAAGAAAACTAGAATTTTAATCAATGTAAAGTGCTAACAATCTCTCTAATAACTGATAATCCTTCTGATTTACATCATCTAAAGATTTTCAAGACTACAAAGAATCAATATTTCTAGGAAAAATTTTCTTTTTCAAGGAGTACCTTCTGAAGAAAAAGCTAAAAGAACCGTCTATCAGATTCAATATATCTATAAAAGTAAAGGAAAAATTGTATGGATTTTAGAAGTAGTTGTGAAACAAGAGAGTAAGCATGTCCTCAAGTACATTTAAGTATGTGTTTTAAGGCAAATTGCAATTTTTTGCCTTTTTGTTCCTCCAGTGCCTGAGAGACAGGTATCATGTCTTACAGGTGTCATAAAACATCAAAGACTCCCAAAGCACCCTCAGACTCATTTCTGAGGCCTTTCACCAGAGGACTGAAAGCTCCTCTGCATGAGAGGAGGTACCTGGGCATTCCCACCTACATTCCTCATTTAAACCCTGTCCATATATTTACACACACTGATCATCCAGTGCCATTTCACTCTAATCAGCCCTAAGGAATCCCTTTACAAGAACATGGATTACTCCCATTTAATGGGATAGGTACGTGACAGCTGAATATTAGGAAAAGGTTCTTCACAAAGAGAGTGCTTGGGCACTGGAACAGGGTCTCCAGGTGAGTGGCCACAGCACCAAATCTGACAGAGCTCAAGAAGTGTTTGGACAATGCTCTCAGGCACCTGGTGTGACTCTTGGTGCTGTCCTGTGAATGGCCAGAAGTCAGATTTCCATGATCCTTGCGGGTCCCTTCCCACTCAGGATATTCTCTGATTCTATGATCAGAAGGAACTGAATTCTACCACTCCATTTACCTACTTGTGTACTGCACAAGGACGAAAGGCCATAGTAAGATTTTGATGCTGGGCTAGAACAAATCAAAATGCATCAAAACAAACCTTGGATTATACCAGCTGTTTTATGACTGACATGTTACTTGAAAAAAAATTTTAAAAAAAAACACAAAAGAAAAAGGGGCATTCATTTAAAATCAAGCCAGAGAATTTTTCCTTATAGAAAAAGAGGAGATCTTAGGGCATTCCAGGTAGCTTGTCAGCATGTGGCAAACAAATATAAATGACATCTAAGAATGGCCTGGTATTTCTGAATTAAAGAAAAGAAATGAACCAAAGAATAAAAAGTAAACTGTGAGAAAACAAAGCCCTATCTCTAAATTCAGGTATTTATCAGCAATTTCCTGGAGTTCAGTTCTACAATTCTTCACTCCTTATCTGATTGGAAGTACAATTATTTATTAGACAGACTTTAAAAACTTTTTTTTTAATCAGACAATGACATGTCTTTATGAAGCAGGAATCAGTAACAGTATTTCCTACCTTTCCAGTTACACGGCCGCTGACAAGGGCAAGAGCAAGAGATGGCATTTGATGACTGCTGAATATATATATATTTCTCCTTTTGACATTTACATCAAAAAGACCTAAGAGTTAAATGAAAAAGAAAAAGCCAGAAATAAGAAAGTCTACTAATTCCTCTTTGCATTTAATTACAATTGATGGTTTATCATTTTCAAGGAAAAATAATTAATTAAGTGTTTAACTCAACAGTTTGACCTCTCTGATCAATAAATTCTCTCATTTGTTCAGGAAAGAGCATCTAGGGACTACTGTCTATTTTGCTGCCTTGAGGAGAAAAGCCCTGAGAGGTAATGATAAGGAACAAATTTCTTTTTATCAGCACATATGTTTAAAAAAAAATCCATAAAAAGGAGCTGAGAACTCAAGCATAATGAACTGGGCTCTAGCAATGAATTTAGATGATAAATAACAGATGATGTAGGGAACATAAAGCTCTCAGGTAAGAAGAGACTTCATTTTCTCTGTTCCTATATTAGAATTTGTAAAGCAAATCCTGCAGCATAACTCATGGCTTCTCAAATTTTAAATCTCACCAATTTTCCAAACAATTAACTTTTATAGCTACAAAATACTGATGAAAGGTAAATTCTTGGCATTTTTTATTGTTCCCAGGGACAACAGTGATTTTTTTAAGCAACTGTTCTACCAGTCCATTATGCTGCAGTTTTGTAAGTTGCAGCTGCCTCTGTGGTTTTCCTGATGCACTCTTTGGCGTGACCTGAAAGATTCTATAATTTCAAAAGAGGTCTGTGAAAGGTCCCTGTGTAAAGTCCCTGGTGAGATGTCAGAAAGACTGAAGAGTTTCATCACTTCCAAGGGAATAAAATACATGTACCTAATGTGGTATGTATTAGAGCTAAGTGTTACTAATGTAGTAGGAGTAAAGTTGATAAAAGGTGGAACTGGTAGACTGATTTTAGTTGCCATTACAATCACTTACAAAAATTGAATAAAATGAATTTATGCATACATATATATATATAGATATATTAATGTACACATACACACACACACACACACACACATATATATATATATATACATACACTCCTTATTAATGAACTCTACCTAAATTTGAATTTGTTGTCTTAGATGGATCTAGTTTCAAAAGACTTGCTGTTCTTGCCATGTGAGTTCTGTGGGAGCACCAAATTGAAAATGACAAGTTTTTCTATTTGGCAAAGGAAAGCCAACCAAGACACCATATGAGAATTTGTACACATGTATAATTTAAGTAAGGAAAATGTTTAGTATGATTATATACTCTTTTCCATTTTAGGTATCTCAATATTAAAGACTTTCTTTGGATCTCATATACATACATCCACATGGAAAATACATTACCATATTTGTTTTTCTTGTCACCAAGAGCATCAACTCTGCTATCTGGGTAGAGGCAAATGAAACCACGGGTGACTCTGTTGTAAAATTGAAGTGTAACGCCTTTCCGAAATTTCCACTTTTCTGCAGTCCACTAGTTTTGGAAACAGCAAACAGAAAAGATTTATGAAAAGATGATACACAGGAATTTGTCATACAAAACATTCAACTGACCTGATTTCACTCAAAGCATCATTTCAGTGGTTTAAATTAAAATGAAAAGGTACACTCTTACAGTTTTTTCTCTCTTGAGTTCCAGCTCTTGTCCTGTGCAGATAAAAACAGTGCAATTAATTTACAGAGATTCTTCATTCCCTTTGAGACAGTTTTTTTCCCCACCAATTTTCACTTACTTCCTGGAAGCATGCTGGCGTGTGTCACAGGCAGTTCTCTAGCAATATTTCCATCATCCTGTCCCTGGTCCAGCCACCTAAGAACCAGAACCTCTTTCAGCAATAACCTTTACTGGCAACTTCTAAAGTATGCATGACACTTGTAGACAATACTTGCTGTCCTATGCATTAAAGTCTCAAGGCTGACAAACAGCAATGCAAAAATCCAGTAAAAAGAGATTAACATTGGCAAAAAATTATTTTTCTTTCTTGTTCTTAGTGAAACAAATAAATGCTTTCCCAGACTGAGGTAAAAGGGCCTAACTCAATTTTTACATGTCAGTGAATGCATATTCATCCCAGATCAATAATGAATTGCGCAGTGGTTGTGATGTTTGTTCTTCCTGTCTACAAGAAGGTTACAGCAAGATGCAAATTGTTCCATGCCCTGAAAATCCCTATAGGAAGAGGCAAACCCAACAGTGGCAACGCTTTCACCATATCTGAACTATATTTTCACAATGCCTTTGTACACATCTACTTATGTGAGTTAAGTCTAACTCCATTTGAGTCAAAAGCATTCCCACACTCAGAGCAAGACAGCAAGCACAGCATCAAGCTCTAACAATAACTAGCATATACCCTGTATTTTTCTGCCTGAAATGGATTTGAACTCTCCCTAAATTATGTATGAAGCCAGCATTATAGATCTCTTCATAGCAGTTCATCTCATCTAGAATACAGACTCAAAATTAGGTCAGGCAAGGATGAGGTGCTGTATCTGATAGGCAGAAAGCCCTTACTCACACATAAATCAGTTTCAGTGTGCACATCGCTCACTCTGGGCTGTCTCAGGCAGTTATTTATTCACTCAGAGAAGTGAGAGGGGGAAATAGAATTGGGGTGCCACTGGCAAGCTGCAGCTAGACTCTTACGTGACCGGACTTTACTGTTCCTAATATTTGCACTGATACTTATTGATTAAGATTTTTCCACAAGGTGTTGAGAATTAATCAGGCATAGATAAAACTGTAAATGAGTTATAGAACAGAAGATTCAGAGCAGCAGCATCTGCAGGGGAAAAGGCAGGGAAGTTAGGATTGCTTCAAATTATGTTGCAGCTCACTGACAGGCTGCAAAACAAATGAGTAAAAGGGATGTGGTCAGGCAGCTGCATTTGTGATTGTCATTTCACAGGAACTTAAAGTCTGATCCTGAGCTCACTGAACCCCAAGCTAATCTCCATAGTAACTTCAGCAAATCAGGAGCAGTTTGCTTGAGAGACAGCAAGCCATTCTTCTGAAAAGCCTTGCAATGCATGACATGGAAGAACAGATGAACCTGCTGGTGTCAGATACAAGATGTTGGATATGGCAAATGTGTAACAAAAGCCTATCTTAAATAGTTCAAAAGGTGTGAGAATGGAAAGTTCCCACACAGAACTTTTTATTGCTTTTTCCTTAGTTCAAAGATCAGGTGTTTGACCAGATACAACTCTTAGAGCTGTAAAAAGAATCAAACCAATTCAACTCACTTCTTAGGAGACATATATCCTTAGAAGATATTTCAGGAGAAAAACTAAGAGTAGTTACAAATTTAATAAACATCTAACCCAAATCAAATATAACCAACCTGTGACAAAGAAAAGTATAATCCAGATCTGTTATAGGATCCTTGATTATAACTTTGTCCAGAAACCATCCATTGCCTTAGAAGAAATAAAGTAAAAAACAAAACGTTGTTCATGAGAGAAAAATTGAGGTGTTTAATTATGTCAGACTTCCTATAGTTTTCTCTCTTCTACTGGAATGGCAAAATCTGCAGCTCCACTGGCAGATTTAAATAGTCACAGCTATCCTCATGGCTGGAGGGAGGACAGTACCTGCCCTAGGTACTCTAGAGCTTCCTTATGGGCCTGCAAGCTGCTGGGTCTCTCCCTGGCTACATCCTTCCCTCCTTAAACATTGCCATCATATGGGTCTTAGTTTTGCCAATCAAAATAACAACAAAATTATATAGCAGCTTATGATGGCTCAAAAGAAGTTGCAATGCTTACAGTATTTAGGCTCAAGAGATTGAAAAATAGGACCTGTGACTGCAAACATTTTAAGTTTCACCATTAATTGGAAGTCTAATGACAAGATAGGGTTACAAAAATCTTCATTTGGATTTTTACAGTGCAACTGATAATGTTAATTCATCTAAAATTAAAATAGATTATTTTAACTTGAATACAAGACATAATCAATGTCTTAACATGGAAACATTTCCCCTCTTCACAGTTTTTTACAGGGATTAGTAAAAAATTATTATCAGATGCTGTCCTTATCATAACAGTTGAGAGTAGAGCACAGGTGAGATTTCTGACCTGATCCAAGCCCATTGTGTCCTATAACAATCTTGTACAAACATCCAAGGTGCACAGCTTCAACAGAAAAGATGTCAGTCTGTAACCAACCAACAAAATTTCAGAAAAATCTAAAAAGCAGAGCATTCTTCAGCCACACAATTCTGAAGACTCAAAACCCCTTATAACTTTGTCAATATAACTTTTGTCAAGATTGTTGCAGCAGCTCTCTGGTCACAGAGAGCAACAGACAACTTTCCCAGCCATTGTTCGGGGAAAGGCTGTCAGAAGATCAGGAAAAGAATGAGAAAGAATTCTTATCTTCATTTCCTGCACCTGATATTGTAAACACGTGGAATGTGTTATGGAGATTTGTTTACCAAATGGTGGTTTCTTAATTAGCCAATGGTGATGGTGTTTTGATTGGAGGACCAATTAGGTCCACCTGTAGCAAACTAGGGTATAAAGGTATGGGTTTCTCAATCAAGATGATAATTGGCCTTCTGTGAATAAATGGAGTCTATGTCAATCAGTGCCTGGTCCTGGCCCATTGTGCTGACACAAGATCATCATCTGAAATATTAGGTGATGATAAAGGCATCATAGATAAAATTTTGTAAATTAAAATTCTCACTTCCAAAAGCACTGGTATAACTTTAGAAAGTATTTGGAACTTGATTAGGGAATTTTGGAGAGCCATCAGAATGTAGTAATTATCTCTTTTCTAACTGCATCTTTCTTGAAATCACCACCCACCCGAGAGAGAAAAGCCAGACAAACATATCAAAAAAATGCCCTTTCCCTTACTTGTCCTTTTAAAAATTTCTTGGGTTTTTGTGACCTGAGCAGCTGTCTTGATCCTGTATCACCTCTTTCTCCATAGACAGAAATATAGACATCAGCCTCAGTTCCAGCGTTCCACAGGTCTCCTGTTGTCACGTGCACTTTGTAGACAGTAACTGACAATAAAAGATGACAACTTTTCATATCACAAGCACTATTATATAGTTACAATAACATCTAGCTGGCTGTAGAGTCCAAAGATATTGGTGGCAAGGACAGGTTATAAAACCTTAAAAATCCTATTCAATAAAATAAAATGCAAAGTAGATTTTATGTTTTTTATGGTTGTTACTTTCATTGTTGTGTCCCAGGCTGTCATCTGTGGGGAATGCAAACTGAAGTTAATTTTAAATGCCCAGGAGCATATCTTGGTGCTGCAGCATCATTTGAAATCATCATAAACTGAAAAGTAAATAATGTAAATCCTAGATTGGAGTCATCATAAGTAGTGAGATCAAAACTATATAAATCAGTGGAAACCATTAACTTTGAATGCACTGGTTAACCAAGCAGGCTAAAATCTAGCACCATAATTTTAGTTTTCTAAGACCTCAAAACTCAGAACACTGCATTGTTTTATTATTTTAGCAATTAATGTTACAGAATGTAAAAATCATAGAATGGTTTGGTTTGGGAGACACCTTTAAAGACCATCTAGACCTTGCCATTTTCATGGTCAACCTCAGTTACACCAGGTTGCTCAGAGCCATGTCCAACCTGACTTTGAATGTTTCCAGGGATAATTAAGCTCTCTATATTCCATATGAAAATTCTTTAAAGGATTTAAATTTAGGATGGAATAACTAAGATTTAAATCCAATAAATAATTTCTTTAATAAGAATGGATATTGCAAGTAAAACTAAATTTGAATTAAAATATGATTAAACTAAAGACTATGTTACGTAAAAATATCTACTGATATAAAACTGTGGTCCTTAAAATACAGATGTAGGAACTCTATAAAATTCAGAAGTAAGATAAAACATGCAATCATAATCACCAGTATTAACAAGGGAAAGGCAAAATTTATGCCAATATACACTATTTTGTTAGACCAGATGAGGTACAGGGAGAATGAAAGGGGAAGACAAAACCTCATTTTCTGGCACTCAAGCTCTTCTTCAAAGGGTTGGTGTCTGTGTGCTTCTCTGTCTTGCAAGCAGAAAGGAGTTTCTGAACCACTGGGTCCGAAACAACATCAACATTATCATCATTCAACTGTCAGTTTCTATTTGAAACATGTTATGAAGCTTGGCTGTAATTCTCTGATAGAGGTTGCTTCCAGATCTCACTTTTCTGATGGCCAAACACCTTCCTTTAGCAAGCACTGAAGATTTATTCATCATCAGTACATATCTGCAATTATGCTAGGTGGCTGGTAGGTGTTACAATTTTTCTATTCATTCTTATATTTTTATAAATTTATATTTTTATATATTTATTATATGATTATCTCTCATTTATTTACTTGGGTTTTTCTGTGCTTGTTACTAAACAAACTATCTTTAAAGAATTCAATTTGAATAATGGTAATAATTTAACAAAAACACTAAAGAACCTGCACAGGTTTTAATGTGCCCACACAGAACACTAGAGGTAATTTCCTTCTGGTGTGAGAGCTAACTCATTTTGAGATCAAGCCTCTGAGCTCCTCTGAAATATGTGAAAAGGCCAGCCACATTTAACATACAGAAGCTTTTGATACACTCGAGTTAGCACCATAACCAGGCACTATCTTTCCCAGTGTATGCCTGTCTCAATACTTAAAATAGTTTTCATTTGGCAACTGTTAATTCATACTGCAATTTACCCATATAATTTCACGTCACCACCTGATCTATTTACTTGTCCAATTTTTTCTTTGCAGCATCCATATGAACACATGCCCCATGAACAGACCACAGCAGAGGGAGAGAATTTATTTCTCTATATCAACAATTCCATATATAGGACCACAAAAATGTTCTATTGCAACAACTTCCTCCTTCAATAACTACCTGCTTTCTAATTCCTGTAAGAAGAAAAGCAAAGGTCCACCAGTTACCAATACTGTGTATCCCTGATTTATTCTCAGGATATAATTAATGATTGTGTCATAAACTATGAGCAGACAGGGACAAAAGTAGAATGATAGAGGATAAAGCGTCAGATGAATGTTGCTCAGTCCTCCAGCATTATAGCAACAAAGTCTTTATGTAACACTTCTTAACAGTTTAATTCCCATGTTCTTCCTTTGAATAAAAAAGAATGTTAAATCAGAGAGTGCTTCAGCCTCTTTTTATTCAGAAATTGGTTTTAAAGTGCCTCTCATCATCTCTCTTTCACATTGAATCCAGACCCCTTCACTGTTCTGTTATCAAACTATCTTCTCTGAAGTTAAAAGCTGTGTTCCCTTTACACTGTCTCATGCAGAAATATAACACTGCAAAAAGACACAGGAGCCATCTTTCAATTACTAAATCAGAGATGAAACTGCCTTCTCCAAAGCCTTCTGCATGACCCCTTTTACACTGAAGCTGGTAGAAATGCACAGAAGCTCTTTTCTTCCTCCCTTGTGTGAGAGAGAAATTGTAACTACAAAATGCAGATTGAGATGTTGGGTGTAAATGTGCCTTTGTGCTTTTCATGCATGAAGATTACTCAATAATAAAAATCTCTCATTGTATCTTCATTTCAGAAACAAGGAAAACTGCTACTCAGAAAGAGCTCCAAAATTAGGATGTTGAGAGAATCACAGAATATTCTATGTTGGAAGGGACCCACAGGGATCATTGACTACAATTCTTAAGTGAACAGCCCATATAGGGATTGAACCCACAACACTGGCATTATCAGCACCATGTGCTAGCCAGCTGAGGTTGTTGAGGTCTGCATCTCAGGATATTTAAACAAGAGAACATTTGGGGAAGAAAATATACTGCAAATAGGGTAATAGAACATATTCAATAAAAGACATCAATTATTATTAATTAGCATTTATTCAAAGGGGTGGGAGGCATTTGACTTTTATACCACTGTGTTTGTATGTCCCCCTATAAAAACAGTATTGGTCTCCTGACCAAAGAGACAAAATCTGTGAGGAAGCAAGCTGAGTGTCCCTGAGGCTTCTCTTGTCATGAAAATCATGACCACCCAAGACCAAAAATCATTGTGGTTAATGTGGATGGGCCTCTCTCTCTAGAGCATCTTATGAGCCATTGACATCTGCTAAGTATTGGGGGAAATCTCTCCCATTATTCTTTTTCCCTTTAAACATACTTTTGAGGCACAGCCCTGTTTTTTTTCTGATCTTCTTAAGGTTCTTAATTTCAGAGCTCAGTCATCACAGAGAAGCATAAATATAACTCCAGGCCACCCATCTCTTTATTACAAGAGTAACTGTCCCAAGGTATGTTTTCCCACATCCATGGACCATTCTCTAGACTTCTGCCCCTCGATTTTATTTGCAAATATCCTCTTCCTCTAGCCTGAACCCACAATATTTGTTACCATTGAAATACCTGTTACAATTCCAACTTTGCAAGATCAACACAAGGGATCATAGACACTCCATAAAGCAATGATAAATTGTTAAACATTCTGAAAAAGGGGTTTCATAGTTTTTAGAGAACTTAGAACGAAAGTTTCTCTCATCCCATTAATTTTGTCCTCTGCAGCTGATACAATTTTTGTGGGGAAGAGAAGAGGACAAGTCCCAGGTCTTGTTTTAGTGAAGTCCTAGCCCAAGTAATACCAGTGGTTTTATGGCTTTTCCCCCTATAGCATCACACCCAAATAGAATGGGAATTTACCACAGCATTCTTGTTCTCTCACCCACATCTCTCCCAGGACACACTGCTCTTGCTAAGCCCTTGTAATTTTCTTAGAAATTTTCCAGAAAAGGACAATGCCAATTGGAGAGAAGGGAGGAACAAGCACAGACTTTCTATCCCCTTTCCGCTGATCGAGCAGAGGGGTCATATAGCAACATCAGGGACTGGTGTGGTAGAGCAGGACACTAAAACAGTGCAACAACAGCAACACCCAATAAATTTCATATCCTTTGGAATCATTCATCCTTAGAATTACAATACAAATTCTCTGTGAATAATGGATATTTTAACACTTATAATCTCCCAAAATATTTATTCTGAAAGTTTTATTCCACATCCAAAAATTAAAAGTATTCTGGAAGTCTGAGCCATTTACCTGAAAGAGACTGAAACAGCAGCTACAACAGTAACACTGGAGCTATAAAATCCTCAGTTATTAAAAACAGAGTTTGTGATCTGGATCATATGCTGGCTTCATTGTTGTTACATGTCTGACATGTCTTTACTACTGTCTTTACTTTAAACCAAACATAAGCAGTGGAAATCTTACCAAACAAGAAATCCACTTCAAGAACATGTGAAATTCAAAGCATTAAAGACTCTCTCATTCCTTTTCCAGTGCTTTTTAACTTTTCACCTGAGTATGCACAGTAACAACAGGAAAGCAAAGCAGAAAAAGTGTTGTGGCAGCCAAAAAGTAATAGAGGGCCTGATGAAAAACAATGAACTCACCGCTATCGACATCAGTATGGGCTCTGACTTTGCTGATGCAGTATTGTGCTTACCTGGAAGAATAGGCTGACCCTGCTGGAAAACAGGAAGCTCCACAGATATTTCCCCATCAGCCTGATCCTTGGCCAGCCATCGATGTGCAGGGAAAGAGAACTGCTCCCCTGAGAAAAGGTTCAGCAACTGCACCTAAGTAGCACCAAGAATTCCAATTTAACTTGCTGATCTCAGAACAGATGGAACAGAACATTAAACTTGTGGGATGTTGTTGAAATCTGTGCAGGTAGAGCTTTGAGGATAACCACAAACCCCTGGGTTTGGAGCATTTCTTCTGCCTGGATCCAACTGCCCAAATCTGGCTTTTGGCTCAGTCATATTTGAAAGCTCAGGGCAGAGTAACTCAAGTGCAACTGAGAAACAGGTTTTTGTCAGCTCAGGAGCACTCCCACAAGCTCCAGCTCTTGCTCCAGCTCGTACATCCGTGGGGGCTGGCACTAGGTGGCATGGCTTACCACAGACAGAACTTCTCACCAGGGGAAGCTTGTCAATGCTCTACCTCTACTCCTCATACTTTTATCAGAACAGGAATTAAAGGGACAGGTTTTGATTCTTCAACACTCCTTGTGACATAAATAAACCATGAAAGTGCCCCAACGAACCCCAACACCAACTGAGGCCTGCACAATGCCCAACATTATTTTCTTCTATGCCCAGCTTCAAGCATGTAGCAGCAAAAGGACCATATGGAAACCAGCTGAAGGAGGAAAAGAGGCTATTTTGTACTTCAAAGTATTCCTTAGTAAGCACTTCAGAGGCTGCTGTATGTTCTAATAGTCCCTGATTATGCTAATTTATACCCATATCTACACTAGATTTTGGATCAGCAGAGAGAAGGGAAGACACTCCTACTTGTAGTTTCACCCTGTGCTTTGCAGAATCTAATCTCCTTAATTTGAATATTGAACAAACTCAGATTTACTGGAAACATTTTTATCTCTTTTGCTGCTTGAATATTAAAATTTAAAGACAAAGATTCATCTTGTCTGAAAAACCTGGCACACCTTAGCCTGTTGACATCTGCTGATGAAGCCTGAAAGAGAAATTTGGATTAACAAAGCAGCACCTCCGTGGACATTTCCTGGTCTGATGTCATCTCAGTACAGATACAAACACAGAAACCATGGGACACTGATGGAGGACTAATGTGCCTAACTACCAGAAAAGCTCTGCAGTTTAGAAAACACTCTTTCCATTTTAGTTCTTCCTGGAAAAAAAATGTAGAAACAGTGATGCTAAGTGTCTGTAGGTAGTTCCTCTTGTGTGAAGTCTAGAAATCAATGACCGTATTCCTTTGTCTCTAAACAATAAAAAAAACACTATCCTTAAGGTTTTAATGTATTTCCCTTTTTTTTTCTTCTTCTTTTCTTTCACTTTCTGCCCAAAGTTGCGAAGAGGGAATGACCTGGCCCTGGCTGATGAATCACTCCCTAAAATCTGTGTCTGATTGGCTGAGATTCCATAAAGAGACAATTGAAATTTATAAATAAATAACTAATGGAACACACTGAAGTGTTGGGGTTTTTTAAATTTTACTGTTGATTTCAATTAATATATCCTAGGTGGAAAGAAGGTTAATAATAACTTTTCATTTTTTCTCTTTCCTTTTGTTTTTTTTGTCAGACTTCCTCTGTCTCTCCTTTTTAAATATCTGTCTCCAAAACTCAGTACACCTGGAAAACTAATAGCTAGTTTTTATAATCAGGCAGTCATCACTTGAATTGAAAGAGATATAATCCCTATAATTCTATTAGGAAATATCTTAGAGTGATAATAATTTAGTCTTAGATAGATAATATTTCAGTGTAGACAGGAACTGGCTAGAGGTATGAACTTACAGGATTTTGCTTAAACTTCAGTTAACACTTCCCAGATCTCTTCCTTCTGAGTCACAGGCCCAGGTAAAGAGAAGTATCAAACAGCCATAGATTTTGAGCACTGATCAATGAATATTTGACTTCAGTGGGCACTTTGCATTTGATAGATCTAGATATATCATGAAATATATTTTAAACATTGAGTTTACCAGCAGCTTCTAAAGCTCTTCATAAACTGCAGTCTCGTAACTGAAAGATAAGAAGCTCTGGCACAAAGATGGAAGGGTTTCAGGCATGTATAGGATATAATTGGCACACATAGTATCACATTGGATACTAGAATAAAAGGCAGATCCTTTAATTTCCAGTCCAGAAGCCTCTATACTATGCTTCCCAAATAAACCTCGAAGTGCAACTAACTCATTCTCTTTGTTTTATTATATTTTCTAACCTACATCAAGATTTTTTTTACATAAGGAGAAAAAAGGACCTCTTCTTTTTCTTGTCAGAGACACAAAACTAGAAACATTTGCAATGTAGCTCTGGTGCTGTGCATGGGGACCCATAGGCATCAGCCACAGATTTGGGGAGGACTTGACTAGGCTGGGTTCAAAGAAACTGCAGGCACTTTGTAGCATACAAAGACTGTAGAAGATTCAGAGTATAGTAGCTAAGTTAAGCAGTCTTCCTTGCTGCCCAGCCACACGTTTTTAAACATAATGTATTAAATTCCAAACAGCCAACCCAGATATCATAAGCTGCTTTAATTCCACACAAAACCATTCCTTCAAAAGTAATCCCTTAAATGAAGGTGAAAGCATTTGATGAGGGTAATATAGTCCTAGGGATTTTTTTTTTTCACTTGTATTTTGAATCCACTGTCATAGTGACTGCTTTTGGACAGATAAAATTTTTCCTCACTGCTTTTACCTCTTTGCAGTGCCAGGCAGGGGAGTTTCCTGTACTTGTATGTCCTATACGTATTTTGTAGAGATGTCCTATGTTCCTAGTATTGACCTGTAAAAGAAACACAATTCATGAAACACAGAACATTTGTTAAAAAGGCAGAAATTCATTTAATAACTGTAAGGTGAGAGTTTTGATTCAAGAAATTAAGTATTCTGACATTTAAACAAGCTTTTCCAACATATTTTACTTCAGATAAGCCTTAGACATCTGGGTCTTCTAAAAGACAGCCTTCAAAAATCTCATTGGCCTGCCAATCCCATTTAAAAATCTTCAGGAAGTTGCTGTAGTAATTCCTGGCTGAATATTTGCCTCAGTGGGAGATGAATAGAGACCATATGTATGACTAAAAAGCAAAAGAGTCCTGACCATAAAACCTGGCTCAGTTTAGCATCTAGACTAGTGACCTGCTCCAAAATTATTTTTTCTCCCATATACCTCTGAGTTTCTCCTTACCCCTCCAGGAGTGTATGTGTTACAATTCTTTGGAAACAATTGTATTCAGCTTTGATGTTTCTTTTTACAAAAAAATTTCAATTAAATCAGGTTAAAAAGCTGTATTTGAAAGATTAGCTTTTGGGCAGGCTGGATGAATATGTCCAGTACAGATAACAGGGTGCTGAGGGAATAACTTTGTGTGAAGGTTATTAAAACAACCTTACTATGAACTTAAGTGTAGAAATAGAAAGCTTATCTTCAAGGAACTGGAAGTACACCATCAGTCTTCCTTCCTCACGGTATAATTTGTTTTGTTATAATGTAGGCTTGATTTTTTTCTCCTGTTGTTTTCCGTAGAATTAATTTTCGTGTTTTCATTGACATTGTATAGATGGGTGTGAATTGAGTTACCTGTATCATGAATTACCCTGAACTCAGTGTTATAAATGATAAAGAGGCAGAGCAGCGAGGACAGACCACAGTTATGTGCAAATACAGTGCACTCAGAGAGCCTTTTCTCTTCCTGTACATTTCAGAGTAGGTTCTCCTTAGCTGTATTCAGTGCTATGGGTTCTTGCTTAACAGGGGAATCCTAGATCTCAAACAATGGGACTGTCCTCTATATTTTGCATTTAAAAGTCATTGTGACTTTTAAATGGTGAAATTAATTTCAGTAATGGTAACAGGAAACAGCCAACAACATCTATTATGAAGGGGGTCTTTTAATCTGTCAGGACCTGCTTACTTGTTTTATCCACTCATTTTTCAATCTGGCTGGTTTTGACATCATGGATAGAGAATGACATTCTGTATCAGGGGTGCTAGATTCTTCCGAGAAAAGAGACAAGAACTGCACTTCCTGCATCCCAAACATCTACAGGGTGAGCTCTTCATCAATGCTGGCATCAAACACCTTTTCTCAGAAGGGGAGTTGCTATGCTGGTTACTAATGATGGAAGCACCTATTTGTCATATGGCCCTATAGCAGACACCTGTAGACAAGCCCTGACAATCCTATATACACACACAAGCTATGCAGATTGTGATAAAGGACCTAGTCTGGCTCACCTAAATCTCCATGTTATAAAACTGGTTGAGGAAGAATTTGTTTGTGTAAGTGGAAGCAAAAGCAGTTTCAGATAGATTTATTACAGGTATAAAATTTTTTATAACTATTGTTATAATGCAACTATTGCAACTATTTCAATAAAGCAGCAGGTGTTTAACAAGGTTAAAATTTTACTCCATATCCTAATTCTTCACTTCCTCATTTAATTTTTAAGATTTTAACCCTGTTTCAAATTTGCAAACTAAACAAGTATCTGTTGTCGTATGTTTCTTGGTATTTTCTTGGGCACAATGCAGATGAAACAGTAGTTCTTCAACAGACAATAAACATGTTGAATCAAATAAGCTTTGGATAAGTGAGTGGAAAAGGATACTAAATTTTTGCTCTACATTTAAGTCTTCTTCCTCATTTCTAGATATGTGCAATGTACAAAAAGCTGCCTTTTTATCACATGGAGTTTGAAATGTCATGCAATCTGGCAGGAAGCAAGAGGGCAACACAATGAATATATATTACTTACTGTGAAGATGTCTTCATTGCCTCTCTGAAATAATTTTCCCTTCTCTCCATCAAGAAAAATTGGACCTGAACTGCCACGATCCCCGTACAATGCAATGTAAACCTTTGAGCTTGTTCCTGCAGACGGCACATCACTGGTGAGGACTGACACATTCCATTTCCTCTCTATCAAAAGATAAAAAGACTCACTGAATTACTTAAATTCAAGATTCTTAAATAAAATGCATTTCGGTAATCAAAATTCTAAGTAATAGCATGTCAATGAAATATGTGTTGCACAAAATTACAGCAGGCAAATATTGAGTTTGCTATGTTTGGCATGTCAGGAAATGTCAGGTTGCATTCATGTATTTTATTCTAAATGTCCTATAGGACCAAGTCAAATCTGAATGAATGTAGACCACCTTTCAAACACAGTTTTGAAATATTGTATTAAATATGGGGTTCTCCTTACTTTTGAAATATCAGCTCCACTCATTGCAATGTTGTGTAATGACAGCTTTGACACTCATCAAACATTAAACATTAGGGACTCTGGAAGCAAATTAGCTCTGCTGAAAACAAACTGTTTAATAAAGGATCTGTATCTCTGCAAAGGTGTAATCAGCTACACAGATGTAGCAGCTTGTTTGGAGCACACTGAAGCTTTACCAGCCCATGAAGGACTTTGATCTGTTGGAGAAAATCCAGAGACAAGCTGATCAGAGGGATAAAGAACCTCTGCTAGGAAGAAAGTCTGAGAGAATCAGGTTTATTCAGCCTGGAAAAGAGAAAGTTTCATGGTGGCCTTCCAGTAACTGAAGGGAGCCTACAGGAAAGATGGAGAGGGACTATTTACAAGAGCATGTAGTCACAAGAAAGGGACAATGGCTTCAAACTGAAAGAGAACAGGTTTATGTTAGATATTAGGGGAAAATTCTTCACTGTGAGGGTGGTGAGACACTGGAATATCTTGACCATAGAAGCTGTGGATGCCTCCTCTCTGGAAGTGCTCAAGACCAGGCTGGATGGAGTCTAAGTGAAAGGTGTCCCTGACCACTGCAGGGGGGTTGGAACTAGATGGGTCTTAAGGCCCCTTGCAACTTAAACGATTCATTGAGCTGAAATTAGCTCATGATTGAATTCCTTGTTTTGCTTTGCTTGTGTGTGCCCCTTTTTCTTTACCTATTAATCCTTATCTCAACCCATGAATCTTCTCTCTTTTACTCTCTCCAATCCCACAAGTGGGGAAGTAAGCAAGCAGCTGAATGGGGCTTAGTTCTCACTGGGCCTAATCTGGTGACACAAGGTGAGAAAATTGTATTAACTATTCCCCATAACTCTTACAGTGGATCAACATTGCAATTAGATTAATGATACTTTATACCATTAGTGCTATAAAAGTCAAGGTACTTGTTTAATAGTGATACATTGAACAATTAAATGGTCTTCTTTTCCTCTGATATCTTTACAATTAAGAGAAATATGCCTTGTGCATTTCAGATGATTAGAAGAAATAGAGAAAATATTTATATAGAAGAAAACCTTGAGAAAATGTCTGATTTTGTTGATGGATACCAAGGAAGGTTTTCTAAGTAAATTACAGTGATGGCTTTGGGACACGCATATAAACAAACCATGAGCAGGCCGAAGATGGAAACTAGAAAACATTCAAGACAGACATCAGAAGCAGGACTCAAGCTCTAGAACATCTCTCTAGTGGAAGCTGCAATGACTACAGAGAAAAAGATTTAAAATCAGATTTAGTAATTAATTGAAATTACTTACCTAATTGTGTCATTTCCCTCTAGCAAGCAGCTAAACTAGATAAACTGACAGTTCCTGGGACTGTGATCTGTATGTTATGTTGGCTGTTTCTTTTTAAATTATGGCAAGATAAAAACTGAATTCCTTCCAGATGTATGGCATACTCTCTATAAATCCCAGAATGCTTGCTGAATGCTTTTCTGTCCTACTAAAGTAGCTCACATTACTCCTCATGGAGTTCTTGCCTCTGTCAGTCAGTATGTTCCTCTAGCATTGTGAGGTCCTCTCTTCAGTCTTGTACCATCTTAACTATGAAAACTATTTTATTGTATTTGTGCATCTCAGACATCTGATATTCTCTAGTTTTGTTTTAAGTTGAACCAGGGAGTGTTTAGATTGCATTTCAGATTGGATAGGAAAAATTACTTCACTGAAAGGGTTGTGAAGCATTGGAAGGTGTCCAGGGAAGGGGTTGAGTCAGCAACCCTGAAGGTATTTAGATGTATAGACATGATACCTGGGGACATGGCTTAATGGTGGACTTTGCAATTCTGGGTTAATGGTTGGACTCAGAGATCTTTTCTAACCTAAATGATTCCACAGTTCTTCGATCTTCCCTATACCACTAATGAATATACAAACCCTATGACAGTATGGTACATCTCACTGTCAACCTTTTGTCCTGCTCTGAGCTGACCATTTTATTGCTTCTCTTTCAGTTAACAGAAATCAAAACCAAGTCTTTCTGTTAATATTCATTTCACCACTTGCTGTGGTCTCTGCTAATTGTATCCTGAGGGAGTACCTCACATCTCATGTTTCTAGTGCTTAGTTTGCTCAGTAACCCTCAGTAATAAGGATCTGATTAAAGGCTCCTGAACCTTGATCTGGAAACACTGAGGTGTTATGAACGTAGCACAGAGTGCCGTGAATTCAGCAGAAAGACTGTGAGTGGTGGAGACATATATAGTTGTTGATTTACCCATAATTTAGACATTATTTACAGCACAGAATGCTGTACAACATTCAGATGGATTCTAGCAATTTTGAGTTACATTTTTCAAACAAAGATTTTATTTCTGTATCAACACGTAAAGGGATGAAAAAATACCATTGAGACTCTTCATTTGGAGCAGTTCTAAAACATGTGAAGGAGGACACCAAAAGAAGTGGAGATGGACAGAAGAATGTCAGGAACAAGGGCAGCATAGCAAATAACATACAGCTATATGGTGTGAAATATGTTAGACAATACATCTTGCTTTAGAGTTATAACATCATTTTATTACATAATATACACCACCTCAAACAACAGAAATAAAATATTTATTTAGGGCGAAATATATCAGCCACTGGACTTCTAAAAAACTGAGTGCTTCTAAGTTTCCTACATGTGTTACAAAACGCTTTTGTTTCACATCCAACTTCTACTTCCCTTCCACGTGCCTTCTGTCCCACACAGACACAATCAACACCTCTGGGCCAAGAGCAATTTGCATCAGCCTTTTATTAGGTCCTCAATCTGGATAAGCAAAGGATCATGACCCAGGGCTTTTCAGCCCTGTACAGCATGTACATGTAGCTATTCTAGACAGAGTCTTCAACAGTACAGAATGGCCAAATTCTCATTCTCTACCTGAAAAGTGGCACCTTCTTTTTTCATGTGTATCTCTGACTTCATTAACAATGAAGAGGAGTACTGTGCAGTATTAGGAATTAAAATCTAACAACAACAAAAAAAAAACTGAAACACTGTCCCTAAACACAATATACATTAAATATTTTCCAATTTCGTGTGTTACATCATTTACTGAAAATTGTAAACCACATATAGGTGCTTACTACATACATGCAGTATTAAAAAATGCTGTAAACAGGTATCCAAAATAACTCTAAAAACAGATTGAAAGATCCTGGAACATATTGCATATGCCTTGGATTCTCAAAATACAACATATTTACAAAAAATCAAACAGAAAAAGGAAAAAACTCAAAACAAAACCACAAATACAATCTCTAAAGTACAGACAGAGGTTAAGTTAGAACACACAACTAAAACTTTCGGTGTATGTAGAACAATTTAAAGAGTAAGTGGTGCTCTCTCAGAAGGAAATATGGCAAGAGCAGTCAGGAAGTCCATTGCAAACAATCTCCATTCTCAGTTCCTAAATATGCCCCTTTTCTAGTGTCTTCTGAGTTAAAGAGGCCTCCTTATTTGGTGTTTGGATGGTCCTACATGGAAAAATCTATTTACTTACATACATGTTTACTTACTTACATATTCTACAGCTGGCCTTTAAAATCTCAAACAGCAATTTTAAAATGTATATCTATATAAAATTACCATGACTTCTGTTTCCTACTTGTTATTGTATTACACCATTTAAATAATGTTTCCTACTTGTCATTTTAAATTAAATGTATCAGTTGATTTTCTTCTAGGAAAAGCATTTCTACTGAAAGGCAATTTTCAAACTCCTTCTCAAATGTCCTGAAATATAAAAATCTTATCTTAAATCTTGGGCAGGTATTTCAAATTTCACTTCTCAGTTGAAAAAAGCAGCTGACATTTCTCTAAAATTAGATGATTGGTATGCAACTACCTCTTAAAAGATAATATTTAATGGAAAAACTGTTTCCTAGCCAAGAAATCATTGCCTTGGAAGTACAACTTTTCTTCCTATAGTGGTTCCCATAAAAATTAATTAATACTTGTATCTCAGCACTGATATACAATTGTAACTTATTTTTATCTAGTTATTCATACTGGGAGTTTTATTGGCTGTGCCGTTCAGCAGTTTATTATGTGATTTTTTTTCTGAAGATGTTTTCAGTAATCTAATGTAATGGAAATTCCAAGATCTTTATTACAAGCCTTTCTCATCTTTACTGTTTCCAGTATCCATTGTAGAAGAACAAACTACTTCTTCTTTGTCTTCTTCTGTAGGAAAGGCATTTTTGTTTTTCAGATTTTCAGAGGCTTTATGTTCAATGCTATTTAAAGAAGTGTCACACTTCAGAAATGTTTCAGAGTGACAGGTTTCTGCTGGATCTGCCAACATGGGAGAACATTTTTCTCCAACAATATAAATTAAATTTATTCTTAAGCTTTGATATTTTTTTGTCTTTCCATTGGGTAGCTCAGTATTTGTGCATGTGACAAGATCACTGGGTATGTGTTTGGATACACTGTTTTGACAATTTCTGGCTTCCATGTGGTTTGTATTCATATCCTCTGTAATATATATCTCCCCTAAAATATTTGTGTCTTTCAAAGCTGAGGATGCAAGTATTCCAAATTTACTAATAAAATCTAAGGTGTTATCAGCATAAAACCGATTAAATATATTATTGACGATCTTATTGATAGAGTTATTCTTCAAAGTAACATGACTATTTTTGTCTCTCAGGTCTTGACC